CTAAACATTATGAGGCAATTGATTTTGTATCCACTTTCTTGCTATAAAAGTGCTGTTGCACAATATCAGTGAATTGTGCTAAACTCATGGTAACAATGCAATTTAGAAACAAGGAGTAATTACTGTATATCCAAAAATACAGTAAGCACTAGCTTGTCTCCTGCTTCCAAGATTTACCCGTCCTTGCAGCAGTTTTGCATAACTTGCTTCTGAGCTTAATCATATTAGAGGAAGAAAATCAGTATGCGCTAGAAATCCAAAATCTTCCCCAGGATTTGCAGGAGCAAATTTCTGGAGAACATGCAGGCATGTCACAGCCAAAGAATACCAATTTTACAACTTAACAGCATGGAGAATTGGGCGTGGGGGAGAAAAAAAAAAAAGGAGAAAAATGCACACAGGAGATTTCCAGTCCTGCTGGCAGCCGAACACGTTAACTTCACTAATCACCTTCAAGGCTATACAGAACAGATCAAGTATTGTCTTCTATTCCTGATGCATATACTGTTTTCCTTTACTTTTGTATTTAATTGTAAGACAACACAAAACCACTCCAGCTAAACTAAAAGCAATCTCTGAAGCAGTTCAGAAACACAGGTCATTTAAACAGGAACAGCAAAAACTGATACTAAAATGGTTTGCCTTTCCTTTAGCCCCGAAGAAGAACTCACTCCTGATCACTGGTTTGTATCCCAAAATACAGCAAAACCCAACCCCTAGCCTTACACATAACCTCTTCCCAGAGCTTCCACCACAGAAACGCCTCTTACATAAGAGAAAAAGGGCTTCGCTCTTCATTTAACAGTGCTACAGAAAACGTTCAATTCACAGTGAGTAACAAGCCTGTTTTATGTCAGGTGTTTGGAAATATCTGCTTCATTTCAGGATATACCAAGAGGCTATTTTAAATATACTGCACTGCTAGTTTGTTCTAAATTAGGAAGGCTACAGCAACTGTACCTTGACTAATCCACAATCTCCTAAGTATCCCACCGTACCATTTCAGAACTGCATTTTTTCCAAGTCATTCTAAACGATATGAAATAAGTGGGTCATTAGCAAATTGGTTTTAAGGAATATAAACGTGCAGCAGCCTTGCTGTTTCCCAGAGCACACTGTTACGTAGCAATGCTCTTTGCAGCCTCATTACATCCAGGCAATTTTATTTGTTCTTATAGCAATTATTTCCAGGGAAATTAGAGAGAAAAGAGAGGCCATAACTCTTTTGTGCCTCTATCCTGAGGATGGCATATCATTTGACATGACTGTTTGTGTTGTCAGGGCTGTTTATAAATGCAGCAGCCCCCATATACTATTCAGGCAGTGCACAAGGATAATGCCTTCATTACAGCCCGGGATGTGGAAAATCATCAAATGGAAGCAACTAAAAATCCAACAGTTTCTTTTAGTCAGAAAGTTTTGATTGTTCACACAAAATGTGGGCGCTAATTTTCAGCAACTTCTGTACTACAAAAATGACAAAATTGACTTCAAGTCTTCGCTCATAAGAATGATTTGGCTATAGGGAAAGGGAAACTGCCTCAAGCTGATGAGTATTTGTTGATCCTACCATGACAAAGAGCTCTGACTAAGCACCTGTATGATCAGTAGCCTTCTAAAAGGTGATTACATCTCCCAAGAAGTAGTAGTCAACCTGTTTAGTATATTTTACATGTTGCTGAAAATGGAACATAGCGTTTAAAAAGGCTCTGGCATAATGAAACAGGAACTGGCACCACGAAACACACGTTCACACAGTTGCTGCCAGCACAGGGCACGTCGCTCCAAGACACACGGGTTGCAAGTGCAACTATCTTCCCAGGGAAAGGGAACCAGCTGGTGAGCGACTTCAGCATTTCCCATCACAGCATGAAGTGCTTCTTTAGCTACGTGCCACCCAGCCACGTCACTTAAGAAACAGGCCCTTGTCCTCCACGTTTCCCCACAAAGAACAGCCAACAATGGGAAAGAGCAGCCCGAGCCAGTCCGGAAACGTCTCTCTGGCAGCTCCTGTTGTCAGCAGAGGTGAAGAGGCACCTTGGAAGGATAAAGTTGATGCTGGGGACCTGCTGCAGGCTCTGGGGGTTTGCCTGCTCATCAGTGACAAGAGAGAAAGATTCAGACATGCCAGATAAGCACCTGCAGCCAGGCAGGTGAGAGGGATCGCCACCCATGCTGCTTTGGGAACACCAAAGTGTTTAGAAATAGGACAAACTCCACAAGTACCACTCAGAGAGCAGCAGGGCTCACACTGCCTGCTCTGCTGAGTCTTTGGGTACCAAGGTAGGAGTCCACCGAGTGAAATCTGCAAGTCCCCAATAGACAAGATGACGATTCCAAGCTCTTTAGCAGGTAAAGAGTTGGTCTAACATAAAAAAAAAAAAAAACACAACAAAATTCTACAGCATAATGGCAAACTCGCTAGAAGTGTTTCTACAGCTAAAGCAAATGACCTTAACAGCTGCTCCGAGACAGCCGCTATCCTGTGCTATGGGACCTCGGTGACTGTGCAGCAGCAAGAGGATTTTGGTGTGCAGGAGAAAGGCAGGTGACAACGGGGTGCAATGGTGATGATGGGGTCTTAAAAAAGAGCAAAGCAGTCACCTCACTAGAAACCAAAGCCCACTACAGCAGCAGGAAGAACAACAACAAAAGGATCAGATATATTCATTTTTATTATTTTTGAATCTGCAGGTGAGGGTTGTTTTGCTCAGACAGAAAGCTGTTGCCTTGCTGCAATATTTTGCCTTTGGGCAGTTTTCAGACGGTTGCTAACATTTCAGGAATGATAAACTTCATCACAATGACCGCATATGCGCACAAACACACCAAGAAAGAAGGAAATGGAAAAGAAATCAGAAAGGACCAGACGCACGACACAACTGAAGCAAAGTCGGTATTTATAGACTCCAAACTTTGGATGGCTCTGGCTGCAGGAAGATAGACAAGAGGTCAAAGGCTGTGGGCATCAAGCTGGCACGAGTGCATTGACAAATACTCTCTCATCTCATAAACGTGACCCAGGGCTACTGCGAATGAGCAGCAAATTATTCAGGCCACAATGCTGCAAAACAGATCTATTCTGCAGCCAGGTGAGCAATATAAACAGAAGGGGCAAAAAAATTGCACATAAGGGTCAATCAGTCTTCCGTCAATGCCAAGGAAAAGATTTCTCTTGAAGGTAAAGGGAGTTGAGTTGGATTAGGACCAGAAAGCATTGCCTGCTTTAATGTACAGTTGGTTTTCAATGAAATAAAATATGTTCTAACATGAAAATACCTTGTTCCAACACTGCTGGCTACAACGGAAGAAAGGCTGAATTTCTCATCACCGCTCATTGCCTGGTACTTGCCGGGTAGCCAAGTCCCTCTTGAAACCTAGACACCTACCACAGGACACAGAGCTGACTCTTCTATTGCCATCGTTACTGAGGCTCCCTCCTCTCTCCCCATGGAATTTCACCAATCCTCCCCAGGGCTGAGGGAAACCCACCGATTTGCCTCCAAGAAATGCACGAGCACAAAGCAACCCTGATGCAAACACCCTCTGTGAGTTTACACAAAATTATACAACCTACCAAGAGACAAATAAAAACAGAAATTGATAAAGCTCTGTTATTACTCATTTCTCCTCCTTGCTGGTTAAAGCAAGTAACTCATGCTGCTCATTAAGAAAATGCTTAACAGACCTGTGAGTATCTGCAAGCAATAAGCCTTCTGCCTCCCGGTCTTCTGACTTCATTCACAAGCTGTGTTTCATTATCAGTGGTAAGCCAAAAATGAGTAATTTGCTCTGACAATTACTGTGAATTTAGCCTGGTGCTGCTGCCTCCTCGGCACCCTTCTATGAACCATCTCCTTACAAAACCCCCATGTTAATTTATTTTATTGCATTGTATGAAGCCTGAACTTTTAACCCTCAGATCACCCATCCTTGCCCAGACCCATCAACTGCTGTGGCATTTTGCGACACATCCAACAGTTAAGTGCAATATCCTGAGAGGTGTTCCCGGGAAAGCGAGTGCTTCAGTCGGTCGGAGCTACAGCCCTTTTGAGGCCGTTTAAGGGAGCTGCTTCACACCAAATGCCCGTCACGGCCCCCACGGCCATCGGCCGGAGCCCCGCTCCCATTGAGCCCCACGCCGGGGACCCGCAGCGGCTCCAGCGCCCATTTACGCTGTGTCACAGAGGGGCTGGACAGGCTCCTCGCTCCCCACGGATCGCGCGGGCGCCTGGCTATGCACACAGAATGGTGCCGGTGGGAAACGCGGCTGCCCCTGGCGCCTGACAACACCGCCACGCACCCCAGCCCACTGAGGACACGGGCCTCAGCCGACAACACTGCCACGCAGCCCTACCCCGCTGAGGACACGGGCCTCGGCCACGGCGGAAACACCCCGTGGAAAATCCCAAAGCAACCATAGGAGCTGGGGGGAACCGGACATGGAGGGGCGTGCCGGGAGCTGGAGCAGCGTGGGGAACCCGAGGGAAATGAGGGGTGCCGGGGGGGTCTGGGGGTCCAGGCTGCCTGGGGGGAGGGAAATCGGAGCCACCTCGGGGGCTCCGGGTGGACCCCAAGTGAAAGGGGGTCTGGGCTAAGTGGGATTCAGGGGGCCCCAGGGGAAATATGGTGCCAGGGCCAATTTAGGGAGGTCCAAAGGGTGCCGGGGAAAGGTGGGGGTCAGGACCACCTTGGGGGGCTCTGGGATGCCCTGATGGGGGATGAGGGCTGCCCTGGGGGTCAACCTGGGGTATTCCCAAGGAAAGGGGGGATCGAGGCCACCTTGGGGGCCTCCGCGGGCCATGAGCGGGAGGTCGGGACCACCCGGGGGGGCTGCGGGGCCCCTGGAGCGGCCGAGGGAAAGGGAAGGGGGTCCAAGGGATGCGGGTCCATGGGAAGGGAATCCAGGGGATGCGGATCCAGGGGATGCGGGTCCAGGGGAAGGGCTCCGCGCCGCGTCCCCGCGGCAGGTGTCGCCAGGAGCGGGAGGCGCCGCTCACCTCCTCGCCCTGGCCGAACTGCAGCCCCAGCGCCACGAAGTGCTCCACGCGGATGAAGCCGTCCGCGTCCTCGTCGCACACGTCGAAGACCTCCTTGAGCCTCCGCAGGAAGCGCAGCAGGCTGCCCGGCTCCATGGCGGCGTCAGCGCGGGGCCGGCGCCGCGGCCGCCGCGGCCATGATCGCCCGCGCCTTCCTCAGCGGGTGCGTGACATCAGCGTGGGGGGGGAGAACAATGGGGCAGAGCGGCGGGCGGGGCCGCCGCCAGGGGGCGCCGCCGCGAGGGGAGGGACGGGATGGGGGGACACGGGTGGGGGGACGCGGGTGGGTAACGGGAAGGAGGGTCCCTGACAGTGATGGTGCTCGAGGGGGACGTGGCGGCCAGCGGGAGATGCGAGTGCACAGGCAGACACGGGGGCCTGTTGCTAGTTGCTCTGGGGCAGAGAAAGGAATGGCGCAGGGATGGCGCAGGCAGCGAGGGGACGCTGCGGCCTGGCCCCCATCCTGCCACCCCGGCACGAGCGGGTCCTCCTCCCCAGCACGCCAGACAAAACACGGGTGACACCACAGCCCCTCTTGAGAAGGACCGTCCCCCAAGGGCCTGGCTAAGGGGAGGAGGGCAGAGCTGAAGGTGACAGGGGAGTAGGACAAGCGTGTGGGTGTCCCGGTGTTGAGCTGAGGGATGTTGGGGGCTGGTTGGTGAAGGCGGCCACCTAAAATGGCACTGAAAGGCTCCAGCATGCAGACCACGTCCGTCCATTTGCTTCTGGTAATGAGAGGCCAGGTTGATCCTTGGCAGCCCTGAAATTCCCCTAATTAAGGCCTGAAATTCACCTAATTAAAGCCAAACACTCAAAGTCTTCCCTTTTCTAGGAAACAGAAGTAGTGTTTTCCTCAGGAAGCTGAGTTTCTTTGAATACACATTTCTCATCCCTTTTATGTGCAAATCCCATGTTGAGGAAGAGGCTGACTTGACAGCCCTGCAGGCTGTGCGCTGGTTGTCAATCGGCCGCGCAGTGACAGCGCATGCTGTATGAGTAGTACAGGCGCTGCACAGTCCCACCCTTAGACACAGAAACACAGAGTGAGTTCCAGAGCCCCAGCCCAACCTTGACCTTCCTTTAATTTTATAACAAATACAGAAGAGCTCTCCTGTTCCCTTACTGATGCACGAGAGGGTTTTTCCAGACTGGAAGAAACTCATAAAGTGCAGAGAGCAGATCACACCCTTGGGAAGCAAAGAATTTGTGAAGTTGAAGGATATCTGAAAGAGAAAAAGGAAGCAAAGTATTTGAACAGGAAAGCTCTGTGAAGTTGCTGAGTTAGAGCAGGATTCTCAGATGTTGGGAACGTTTAGTTTTTATCTCAAGCAGGTGAACGTATGTTCAGGTGATATGAGAATTGGGCTTAGGAGACCCCTCGCGGTGGTACCCATTGTGAAAATACTCAGAAATGTATATTGTGGTGGCACTCAGAGCTGTGAAAAGCACCCCTATATGCAACCAGGTACTGGTTGCTCCTCTGAACCAGGTAGTCTGCTCCTCTGAAGTGGAATTTAAACTCAGGGCACGTGTCCTTGTTCACTCCAATTGTCTTAGACTGCCCCACTGCACTGACTCACCCTTCTGCATTCAGATGGGTGGCCATACAGTCCCAGATGGGGAGTCACATTCAATATTCTGAAGAAAAAATGGACAAAAGGGAACAAAGTTATTCCTGTTTGCCATGACCAGAGGAAAAATTCCAGTATATGAGGGATGCACCTGTCTTTGCTGGAGGAAGAACTTGAACTGTAAGCAGAAGTGACAAGTTAAGTTTAGATCAAACCTACTACCATTCATCTGTCCCCCGCATTATTTATAAGAAAAAGAGGGGAAAAAAAAAAAAAAGCTTCAGGAACAAATACAACAGTTTGGGGAGCTAGTACATAAAGCTGAGAGCTGCTGGATTTGTGGTGGTGCATATTTGCCTATTCAGGGTAGTTTGAGAGGAAATATTTTGCAGCGAGCCACAGGCCAACGATGGCATTTACAGGATTTCATTAAAATCAGCTCCTTTTCCATCAATGTCACTTCCATTTATTTAGTAAATTGTAATCTTGTGTCAGAAACAGCACATAAGGACTGCATTCCCCCAGGCTGATGACCTTATCTATAATTCTGGTTGCCTTCCGACACACAGTAGCAGCATCTTGAGACAGCCTCTCAGAACAAATTCATAGCATAAATTCTCTTTCCAATACACATAATATCACCCTCACTGAATATTTGCCTTCTAATAACTACTTTTAATATATATACACAATATATAATAATAATAATATATTTTAATAAAATCCTGTTTCCAGTCAACAAATGTAACAACTGTAACTTTTCATTAGTTGAATCTCCTCTTTGATTTTAAGTGTCATGATTAACAAGTAACGGGCAACAATAACTTATTAATACTTCTATCCTGGCTGAAAATTTAAAGCATTGTTTAAAAGTGATGATGTTTTCTCAGCCTAAATAGCTGTGGCACAGAAGGAAAATAGTGAATTTTACTGTCATTTTCCCCAATCTTTTTTTCTATTTTAATAAATGATCTGTAATTAAAAAAAAAACAATAGAGTTGGGGAAAATGTTGCAGTAGTCTTCCATGGAGATTTTCTTATCACTAAAGGACCCAACCTTGTACTGACTGAGTTCTACACAGTATGTATGAATTGCCTGTTTGATATCAACAGCACTCTTACCAGATTATGAATTTAAGCACAGGCATGAGTTTCTGCAGGATCAAAGGCTGGCCAGGCTCAGCTAGGCAGTTAGCTGCCCTCACCTCAGCAAACCCAGCAATGCCTTACACATTTCTTCTTAAACACCTCATACTTTCAGAGACACTAAGGAAGAAAACTAAGCATAGGCAGAAGATATGCCATTTGAAAAAGAAGAGTGTGTCCAAATACATGTGGCAACATGGAATTATATAGTCTGATTAAATCAACAAGCTAATTTAGCTGTTTTGTAACTTTTAGGCCTCATTATACTGGGGGACCAAATCTCTGTTTCCATGAAGTTACCAAAAAAAAAATAATCTTCAGTTTTGGCTCACTTTAAATTTACAGAATCAAACTTACTTTTCCAAGCACTGACCAGGCATTCCCAGGGAGAGTACGGCAGGTAGAGGCTCTTGCCAACATGCTCCCATGGTATTGGAAGGTCTCCTTACTCCACCAAGTGGTCACCCACTTCACTGCACTGTCCCCAGCCAAGGGGACACAAGTGCTGGACAGCAGCCACGGGGGAACAACGTGAGGCCACTGTGTTTGGTACCAGATTCATCTGCAAAATAGAGGTAAATGGGATAAAGCAAGCTTTCCTCCTGTCCCTGGGACCAAACCTCTCTGCATTTGGCATATCCCTGTGGTCTCTGTGCTGCCTTCTTGGAAAAAAGCAGCCATCAGCTTTTTTCCAAGAGCTCCAAGCAATGGAAGAGACTTCCATTTGCTTCAGTTGTAATGTGTGATGGCATCTGGCAACCTCCTGAAGTCATTAAGCATGCTAGACGTCACCAAAAGAAAACATCCAATAGCCCCTGTGCAGCAGGGGCTGCAAAAGGAGACAGAGTTTGCACCAAGCAACCCTTCCCCGTCGAATCCTCCCACATCCAGCAAAGCAGGGAGTAAAAAGACAGACAGGACACCTATTATGTGACTTCTAGGTTTCTTTCCCAGGTGTGAAAAATTGTGCAGAGAACTAGACCGAATCCAAATTGTTTACGCAGGCAGTGCTGAATTATTGATTTTTAGCACAGCTAAATCTGTTTCTATGGAAATAATCCTCAACTAATGGTGAGTAAAATAAGACAGTGGCTCCCAGGCTACCTAGATAATCAAAGCCTGCAGCTGTAGGGAGAAAAAATGTTGGACTGTTTTATTTTTGGCTTTCCCTACATCTGTAAAAAAAATCTTATTAATATTTAGCATGATTTAGTCTGACAGATTTGCCAAGTGACAGCCCTTGTCTGCAAACAGCTGCGTGAAATCAAAACGGACCAAGGACGTCACTGCTCATCAGGTGCACAGCAGGACTCAAACTCCCTTCAAAGCAACATATTTCCTCAGTATCTGCTGGACACAAAGGTGACCTACCTTTGGGGTGGTCTAGAGCTGTGACGCACTGGTTAAACAGCCTTGGTGAAAAAAAACAAAGGAATTTTCCTTAATATTAAAGAACTACTGCTCATTTGGTATCTGCATTTAAATAGGCGCTGTCCCCACAGGCCGATTCTTTGTCCATTTATTTTAAAATTCTCCCATGAATATATGTTTCCCTACTCTTAGAGCCCTTCTCATTCTCATTCATCTAATATTCAACCAGAAAGAACAAACAAGTGCAGCTTTGATGCTGCCTGGCCATTCCAGGGTGTCCCTCATCCTGTGGAGAAGCATATTCCGTGAGGACAATAAGACAGGCTCCAGGCCCCAGCGCTCGTGTTGCTCATCATGCCACACAGTCACACAGCAGAGCACCATCCTGGACCGTTCCCCCTCTTCTAAGTGCGGCTGCATCTGTTCCCGTTGGCAGGGGCTCTGCATTGCAAAGCCAAGGCAGAAGAGATTTTCAGGTGGTAAAATGAACTTGATGTCCGAGAGAAAAGAATTAAACAAGACCTATTGCATTTATTTAAAATTTCTTAAAAAAAAAAATGGATTTGCATTGCCAAAGTTCACATGAGTACAGTTCAAGCAGAGAAAAGGAAAATGGAAGGCAATTATTAGGTACTGATACTGCAGCTGATGGGTGATTGCAAGTGTTTACACAGCACTATGACTCAGCCCTTACTAAGCCAATGCTATTAAACACTTTGTGACAGTTTCAGTTGGTGGAGAAATTGGAAGGTTTGCTATTTATTTATGATTCTGACAACTAGAACAAGCTGTTGTGCCTCCTCCAGACACAGATAAATACCAGTCATTCTGTGCTCCACAACAGAGGTCAAATGATGTCTGATTCAGTCTTCTCTTGACACTATACAATTAAAAAATAAATTGTTGTAAAGTTACACATCTCCACAGGATTTATATGTCTAGAAAAATATAGATAAGGATACTGGTTTTAGCTTATATATCTTTTTAAATATGGCTATCGTCTTGGAGAATTATGCTATTATTGCTTAAGTGATACTCTTCACTCATAAGTTCAGAAACTTGTTAAAGGCTTTTATCCACTAGGACTCTCTTCTGCTCAAGAAAAGGGTGTTACAGGGCTTCTGCTTCAGCATAAGGGAAAGCAGAGGTCCCTGCTGGATATGCTGTTAGGTGTTAAGGTTAAAGGCAAATTTCTGTTTGTTGGTCTTTAATGAGAAGAACAAAAAGAAGAAATCATTGGTTAAAAAAAAAAAAAAAAAAAAGGTCAAACTCTCCTCCAGGGAGTGTTTATCTCTTTCCACAGCCCAAAAACCTGAAATACTTGGATCCTAACTCAAGATTATCTCAGTGAGATAGGATTGACTGTAAATCCTCTAGGGCAAGTCATCTATCCTGGCAGCTCCACATCTTCAGCTTCTGATCTAGCTGGATGACTCAAGCAGAGGCCTGAGAACGAAGGAAGGAATGTTCTGTGGCCTAATGAAACGAATTTGCCCTCCAACAGGAAAAACAGCAACTCTATCAGCAAGCTGATCAGCTCCAATCAAGAGGCTTTAGACAAGAGAGCATTCAGGCAAGGGCAGCATTTTACAAAAATACAAAAATCCTTCCAGACAAGGGCAAAGGCACTGAGAGCAAACTGTTTCTGACAGTGGAGATTCCACTGAAAGAGTCATTGTGAGAAATATTAAGGTAGCAAATCACAGCTTACAAATTCAAAAGCAACAAATCATTCAAGGGGAAATAGGCCTTTCCATAAATGCTCACACGCGCTGTCAGCCAGACCAGGGAGGATACATGTCCAAATAGCAACTGTTCCTCCTGATTCATTCTGGACTCACATTCTGCAGAAATAGTGACATTCAGCAAGAAGCCAACGAGCTGGCCCTCACTTCCCTAGTGCTGCTGTTGGGTCACCATCCTGACCATTTTCAGCGCCATCTCTCCTTGATCAGAGGGGACCTGGCACAGAAATGAGAGCATGTGGTAAATAACTGCTATGAAGAAGCAGACAGCAAGAACCAATACAGATATTTTTAGTTTTCTTAAGCTACCTTTTTTACTCATAACAGTAGTAGTTTTACCCCAAGAAACTTATTGCTTACCATGTGCCCAGCCTTAAGGATCCAGAAGAAAGCAAAGTTCTCATAGGCCTTGTGGAAAGCTGCTGTCTCTGTGGACTCTGGAGACACATAGAGAGGCTTCCACCTTTGCTGGCTGAACTTCTCCAAATTAGGCCACTTCAGTTTCCGGATCCATGCTTCCTGGCCTAAGTTAATAGAGTTATGTTTGATAGCAGTTATGTTTGATATAGCAACTTGGGAGTCCCAAGTCAGTCCCAAGTATCTCCACTGCATGAGACTCATGTGCTGCATGGGCCACTGTTGTTCTCTTTGTTCGTCACTTGGCACAAAGAGCCTGAAAAGTTTCTGTTTTCAGGTGTCTGCCAAAGACAGGAGCAGTCAAGATAGAAAAAGATACCAATTCCAGGACAGTAAGAGGGGAAAAAAGACGTTATCTTTAGCTCTGAGCTACTAGAGAAATTTACATATTAAATACAGCTCAGTTTTAGTGCAAAATATGATAAATTGGAGCACCACTAGCTGCTAATCTGTTTTGACAGCTTAAATACACTGTTTCCTAAATTATTGATTGCTGTGTTGTTCATGAAGGGCCTTTGAATATATAAGCGGGGGAAGAGATCCAAAGGATAAGGCCTTTCACAGCGTAAAGATGTTTGTGCTGCTGTGACTGAAGGTTATTAAATAACAAGAAAAGGCAAACAGAGAAGCACGCAGCAGTCTCAGAGCACTAAGAGTCCCAGCTGGACTCGGTGGTGCCCTCGGCTGCCATTTGATCAAGTCTGCACCTTTCAAGCAGCAGGGAACAAACAAAGCCCAAGAGTGGCCCCGTTGCACAGGCCCCGTGCTATTTCTGAGCAGCAGGCGTGGCTACACTTCAAGTGCACCCTGCCCAGCTAATTACCAGCTCCCTGTTGCTCTCCTGGGTACCTTGGCTTCTGCTTGGGCCACACAGGGAAGGCTGGGCTGTATTCTGCACAGATCTATAGCAGAGTATGGTCTTTGCTCCCGAGAACAGGGATTTCAAGACAGGAAAGAAGAGAAGACAATCTCCACATTTATCTATCCTCTCTCTTCATTTATGAATGAGAATACACACACATTTATCTGTCCTGAACAATTAGGAGAATTACTAGTTACCTAATTACTTACGGGCTTCACTGAAACAAAGCAATTATTGATGTTGCAGATCCAATCCCCAGCTCTATAATGGAGGTGAAGAAACTGTCTCTCTCAGAGGGATGTAAAGATAACACATTAAGAGCTATTCAGTAATGACACAAGTATTTAAGCATTGGTGGTTGGACAGCAGATTTGCACAAGAGATCCTGGTATAAGTGTTATTGGAGACTGCGTGTTCTGCTCCTTGCAATGTCCTGTTCCTAACCCGAGTCAAAAGCCCCTTACCCATGGTGTCCACAATGAGATCCAGCTGTCCATTATAGACTGTAACGTTGACATTAGCCGCCAAAAGCTGATCAACAATATCAATGACAGGTCTCATGAAGTCTTCAGCCATGTTTATGAAGACTTGTTTGGACTGTCCTAGCCAGAAAGGAGCAAAAAAAGGAATTAACTGGTAAAGAATGTCATACCTAAGGCAGGACACAAGCAATCAGCTAAAGGTCCTGGTTTATGGCTGCATAAAAGCAAGCCCTAGCACAGAGCAACAGCCAGCAATTTTATCAGTCTGAGCAAGGAACTAGAGAGCCAGAAACCAGCCACGCTCCCAGTGCAACTCACACATCACACTGTCACTTCTGGTCCCCATTACCCACAGAGCTGCTTGCACCAGTCCCATAACCCTTCTCCACACCACAGCACTACATGATGCCAGCTTTCCAGCAGAGAAGAACTGACAGGAATTCTTTCCAAGCTGAGCAATGGACAGAAATCAGCTGCTGAAACATAGGGAAACATCATCTTCCCCCTGACTTTTTTTTTTAAGCTGTTGGGCTAAAGACATTCAAACCCTACAGTGAGAAGCAGAGCTGTATCTGCTCCTACAGGCCTGCCCTGTTACATGTTCATTTTCTAAGAGCACATCCTCCTCTTGGACCCCAAAGCAATGACAATTTCATGTGACTGCCTGCTACAGACATCAAAGTATCTTCCTACAGATGACACCACCACAAATGCAATAAAGCATTTAGGAAAGTACCTCCCCACTTCACACAGTCTGGAATAACTTTTAGCTTCTTTCTGATAGGTCCATTCATCAAATCATTTAGGCTATTCTTGTGCGTATTTTTGACGTGACGTTGATAAAGTCTAACTGAAAAGAAAGAAAATTCTTTGATTAGTGGCACATTTAACATAATCATCAAACGTAGATAAATATCAGTGTTAGTTGCATCCAACAGACTCTTTCTAATGGAAATGCAGTGTCACAGAGGAGGATTTGCTTATTTTATAATGTAAGCAGTGAGAAGCACTGGTGTCAGCCCTTATTTAGGTTAGAAGATAATATGGGAAGAGAGCAACTATACATTTCTGGCTTTGGCTAATAATGTGCTTTCTTCAGGGGATCAACTTCTGCTTTAGCTGCTTGTCACAGATAATTTCTTCTCCTCAGCAGACTAATTTTTAGCTGCATTTTTGGTTTGTTTTGAGGAGTAAACTGTGATGTTTTATAAATTATAAACAGTATAATTTATTTTCATGTTGATACATAAATACCATGAAGCAAAAGAGTCTAATGAGACTCCTTTCATGGCTGAGACATTCGTGTGTCCTAACTTGAAGACAGAAATGAAAGAGATTAAGAGGAAGCAACTCAGAAGTCAAAACTATGGAGCAATTATATTAATTACTTCCTCAGAGTAATGCATGCAGGATGTAAAGGTGGAGGCATAATGTACAAAAGGGTTGTTTCACATTCCTACTTAGCCCTGTTTATGCAAACACAAGCGAGTTCTGTTCAGGAGAGTATCGACATCCTTTAGAATTGAAGGCCCCATTTTAAAGATGTGCTAAATTGAGGCTGTGTCAGAGCCAAAGGTGTGGGGTACAAACATGGGGCTCTCTAACTCGAGTACTTAAATACAACTTACTGAGATGGAGATTTTCTTGTTCATCTGCTTTCATTTCTGGAACATCCTTAGTCATGATGTTATAGAAGTTCACATTGTCTGTGTTCTGAAAGCACAAGATATTTTCAGTAGCACTGTAATAAAAATGTTTCTCAGGTAAGAGGAACAGATTCCTTTACGAAAAAAGGAAGGATCCTGTGACCTGCCTCTGCCTACATCCCAGAAAGATATTTATGGAAAAACTTTGTTTCTGTATTTAGTTTGGGAAGTGGGATTTTCTCAAGCCTTCACTGCTCGCATGCTGGCAGTGTCACAGATGACCTTTGCTTCTGTGAATGGGTGTAAAGCTACAGGAAGTTCTACACCCTGCAAATGGCTGTAGATTCTCACAACTCATTACAGGGAGCACGTGGTACCAGGTGATCATCTGAGATGCCCTGTTGTGCTAGATCTGGCTTGATAAAGCTTGTTGCTCAACATCCTCCCAACCTACAGATTTCAACCACTCAAACACTTCCTCAAGAGAGTGGTGACTGCTTAACAGTCATCCCTCTGTTGAAACTGCGACATCCACACGAGTCCAGGACTTGCGGGCTGGCAGCTCTGACACGGACAGCAGAGTGCCTGCACCCAAAGGAAAGAACACTCTTGGTCTTGCCATGAGAGGAGTTATGCAGCTTTCTGGATCTTTAATGTTCCAATGCAGAGGTTGATCAGAAACCGACTTGCAATAGCTGAAGGAACTGAACAGCCTGCACCCTTATGGCTGTATTGCAGCTTGGAAAGGCAGATAAACAGACTTGAAGAGAAGGCAAAACAGGAAGCGTAAGTTCCTTCCAAAGGACAACAGTAAAAAGTGAAACCAAGTGCATGCAAAGCAAAAATAAAAGCAAAAAGGAAGTTGAGAATGAGAAAAAGGAAGCAGATCTGAGAATAGTTTTATAGTTCTAAGGAAGCAGAATCTTGCACTAAAACAGAATGAGATTTGGGAGCAACTCTCCAATAAGAAAAAGAGGAGGAAAAGTATACCGAATCTTAAGCTGGCACTTGGTAATAAAATACAGTTATGTACAACAGCAGGACATTACTTGAGCTTCCTTCTGCTCTATGCTCCTATTATACCAGGGAAATCTATGTTACTGGAAATGTATGTCTTGCTGGTTGCAATTTCCAACATTCAGAACATACAACCTTCAAGAAATGTCCCCTTTGAGTTGAAACTTTTCCTCAGGCAGAGGTGCACAGTGAACTAACAGCTCTTTGGCATAAACCACATCTTGGCAGAGAGGAGCAGGCAGGGAGACAGGGGACACAAGCCCAGCCAGCGCTCAGAGCAAAGTGTAACCTGCAGCTGTGTACCTCCACAAGCACTAATTACTTACTAACATTGACAGAGGAAGTTCTCACCTCTTCAATGACACCTTCAGCCTTGCTCCAGAGCTCAGTGGCCAGTCCATATTGATTTTTATTTATTGCAACCATTACTTCTTTGGCAACAGCAGTCACCTCTGCCAGACCTTGATCATCAAGGAGAGACTGGAAGGCAAAGACAGAGGAGGACAGTTTCAATTGTAATGCAGGAGCAATATTAACTTCCACTAACAATCTCCATGTACAAAGGTTTTTATTCTGTTAAAAAATCAACATCCACTTATACTCCTTGGCAGTACAAGTCCTAAGGTGAAGACTACAGAACCAGAGCAATGAATGCAAATAGGAGAGTTTAAGAAGGTACTTACAGTGCTATAAAGGTAGGGTCCCCAAGACAGCACAGAATCTAGAGAAACACAACAAATTTCAAATTTCTAAATTTCTGCAGGAGAATTTTCTTTCCTTTTACTGTAGCAAGAATGTATGTGACAAAAGTTCATGAAGATGAACTACCCAATCAAAAGGTAATACTGTCAGATCAATTTAGCCCAAAATTCATGTATCCCAGAGCAAGTTTTTTTCAAATCCTGAGAACTGATAAAACAGCCACTAGGCCATTAACTCCCTGTACATCAATCAATTAGAAACAGTTATAAAACATTTTCTAAGATAATTTATAAAGTCTCGAGGATCAGCTGATCCTTCTAAGACAAGCCTAACACTGTCCCCTGCCCCAGAGTGTCTGTGGGCGCTGCCCTTGCAAATCTCACTGGAGGACAGAGAATCCTGTTTTGGTGCCCTTCACCTGTCTCACACCCTATCTCCTCCAGGCCAGGCAGCACATCAGTTCCAGGCACAAGGTCTTCCTGTGAAAACAAACACTTCACTTGCAACATTTGATGGCCGCATTTTGAGAGAAGTGTTCTCATATCAAATACTTCAGAGGCCATAGAGATTTGCAGGAAGATTTCGCCACTACCCCACTTCAAACACGACTATGGCCCTTGCTGACTTTGCTCTCAGAGCTTTCGCAGTCTGGATATGTTCTAATGATAGATTTTTTTTTTTTTTGTCACAGCTTGCAATGTTTAAATATTTCTTTCTGGTGATTGGATTTACTGAACTCACTAGAGATTTAATTCATGACTGGAACTGAGATACACATGGAATGATTAAAACAAAACAAAAATGTCTGGGGATTTTGAACATACCTAGAGGAGAAATCCATGCGTCTCCAAGAGCAACCCCAGCAAAATTGCACTTTATGCTTCCCTTTTGAACTGCCTTGGTGAATCAGAGAAAACAAACAAAAGTGGCTTTCACTTCGATATTTACAATACTAGAAGCTAATTCTCTTTCAGTGCTTGTAGAACACTGTATTTTTAAGTGAAAAGCGAACTACATCCTCCAGCTACTTACCTCGTGCAACTCTAAAGCGATGCCAGCAGCCATTTTGCCTCCATAAGATTCAGAGAATATGTAGAATGGGATGGTCTGGAGAAAGAAGACAAAAAATCTGCTACGTCTGGGGCACCACATACCCTCATGCACCTCCCACAGACCCTGGGCTCTGGCTCTCTACCTCCCAGTATGAAACGCTGGATATTTTGTGATTCTAACTTGCACGCAGGATTTCCATAAGTTGCTGGTGTAATTGCTGGGAAAGATTAGGAGCAGGGGCTTCAGTATTTTGCAGCTAAATCCACTGCTGATCCTACATGCTCCTCCGATCATCATAGACACAATAATCCAACCCTTTGATACTCTGCCAACCAAGATACCAATTTGGGACATGACTTCTGAATTGTGGAAAATAGAAGGCACTGGTTACACCCGTAGTGTCTCCTCCCACCTAGGTTCTACCTCGTAACAAACACCACAGATCTAGAAGGCTCTTAACCCTCTTTTTAGGGCTTCACAAATCCCTTTTGAATCTACTTAAAAGACAAGCAAAATATGAGACTAACCAGTAATTCAAATTACTTACCTGGAATTCTGTCCTTGTCTTGAAGAATTCTCCAAGAAAAACCATCATATCGGAGACTACTGTGCTAAGGTTTTTGGCAAACAAGCTGCAGTCATCTACATAACTGAATCCAGTACCCACAGGATTATCCACAAACAGGACACTGGCTGCCTGTAGCTGCACAAGCAGAGGGAAGGTCTGCATGAAGTCTCAACAGCAGCAGAATGCACAAACTTTGATTTTGATGGCAAAAGTGTCTAATTGAACCACTAAATCTCAAATTGTGAAAGAACTTGCAGAAAAGGGAGGTGCATGTTTAATACCAGAGAATAGCACAGGTGAGTCTTTTGTCTGTTAGAATGTGAAGATATTAACAATGATTTTGTCAAACTGCTATAGCAAACGTTGAGCCATACTATTACGAGCATACAAATAAAATCAAAGCATCAGCACAGAGAGAGCTAACATGGCTTAAAGCAGAAATACTCATAAATGAAGGAGTAGAACATAAAATCTTCTGATTTGCCTCACCTACAAAAGAAATGCACCCAAAACACCCCATCATCTGCAGCCATACCACCCATTTGACCCAGGAACCACAGGACAATACAGGCGTTATACAACTGGTTGCTCAGAGCACACAAGCGTTCTGGTGATCAAACCTCTAACTTCAATGTAACTTGGTGCCCCTGGAAGATCATACTATCCAAACATCCTCAAAATGAAATCAGAGGTCTGTTCTTCAGTTCTTAATAAGACTATTTGTTTAAGCCCTTTTACTAGCCACGCTCTTTCAAGGTGAAATGTTGTTCTGCTGAATTTAAAATGGAATTCTGCTTAGCATTTCCTTCCAAAGCAACCAGCACGCCTTTCACTCGGTGACTAGAAGCTCAACCCTTTGCCGTACCCAGGTTGTATTTCTTGGTTTCAGATCTTTGTCCAACGGACCAATCTCTTCAAAGTTCCCAAACCCACAGCCTGAAGATCCTGGGCCTCCCTATGGGGAAATACAAAATGAGAAGTAACCTAGTTAAGAAGGCAGCATTATATGGATTTGAGAATAACAGAATAATAAAAACAACGCAGTAGAAGGAGGCATTTTAAACTTTAAAAGCATTTAAACTTTAAAAACACGCCGGTTTCCATGACCCTCGACAGACGCACAGGCGGTTTCTGGAGCAGGGATTTCAGAGGGGCCGTGGCCCCTCAGGGCGGCAGCCGGACACCACGTTAGCGCGGAGCGGTCCGGGACCCTTCCCCGCTCCCCCCTCACCTGCAGCCAGAGCAGCAGCGGCAGCTCCGCGAAGCCGTCGCCGTAGTAGAGCCACCAGAACATGTGCGCCTTGCTGCGCACCTCCACGTAGCCCCACAGCTCCCGCGGCTGCTCCACGGCGGCGCCTGGGCCGGGCGGGACGAGAGGTGAGCGGCGGCCGAGGGCTGCGCGGGCCGCGCCGCTACCCGGGGGAGCCCGCGGGCTCCCGCCCCGCCACCACCGGCCCCCCGAGGAACAGGGACCTCCCGGCCCCGCGTGGGGAGCCGCCCCGGAGCGCCCTCCCCGCGTTACCGGCCGCCAGCAGCGGCAGCAGCAGCGGCAGCACGAGCGGCAGCGGCGGCCCCATGCCGGCGGCGGCGGCTCCCCCGGCGGCGCCTCACGGGCTGCCTCACGCGCGGGAGCCTCCAGGGGGCGCGGCCGCCGCTCGCCGCCCCTTTTGTCCCCCGCGCGCCGCCGTCTTCCCGCCCCCTCCTCCTCCTCCTGCGGCCGCCAAGATGGCGGCGGGCAGCGGCGGCGCGCTGCGCCTGCGGCTGCTCTTCGACTACCCGCCGCCGGGCAGCCCGGGCTGCGCGCTCTGCTGGCTGCTGCTGGAGCCCGCCCAGGTGCGCCTCGTCACCGACCTGCTCAGCCTCATCCGCCAGCGCTTCGGCTTCAGCCGCCGCGCCCGCCTCAGCCTCTTCCTGGAGGGGGCGCTGCTGCCGCCCGCCGAGAGCGCGCGCCTCGTGCGCGACAACGACTCGCTGCGGTAGGGCCGGGGCCGGGGGCGCGCGGGGAGCGGGGCGCGCCCGCGGTGACGCTCCGCTCCGCTCCGCTGCACGCAGGGTGAAGCTGGACGACGTGGAGAGCGACGAGGAGCGCGGGCGGCGGCGGCGCAAGAGGAGCGAGGAGCGCGAGGCCGCCGCGAGCGACGGGGAGACCCCCAGGAAGCGCAAGAGGAGGAAGAGGAAGGAGGAGAGCGGTGCGCAGGAGGGGCCGGCGGCCGGCGAGGAGGGCAGCGGCGCGGGCCGCATCCGCAGGGCGAAGCGAGCGGCGTCGAAGCGCACGGAGGGGACGCGCGCGCCGGCCAAGGCGGCCTCGGCGCGGGAGCAGGATGGGAAAAGCGGCGCCAAGGGATCGGCGAGGAGCGGGGCGCCGGGAGCGGCCCCTTCCGAGCCCTCCAGCACCTCCTCTAGCAGCGACAGCAGCGAAGGAAACGCCAGGCAGAACAAATCCTCGCACAAACCCGCGGCGGCCACGACGCTGCCCAAGAACGCGTCCCCGGCTGCTGCAAATTCCAGCGTGAAAACGGGCGTTTCTAGTAAAGTGACTGTAAAGTCTAAAGCTGCACAGTCTAAGACTGCAGTTAGTAAAAAAACTAACCAGGCCCAGTCCTCTAGCTCTGACTCTGACTCAAGTGCAGAGGAGGGCAAAGCAGCAACGGCCCAAAACAGTGCCACACAGAAAAAGCTGCTGCCTAATAACACAGCCCCTGTAAAAACCAGCACCCCAAAAGCCCCCAACACAAAGACCTCCTCTTCCGAGTCTGACAGTTCAGATTCAGAAACACTCGTTACTAAAAAGCCCAAAGCAAATGCTGGACTGAGTAATTCCCTAGTAAGAAATGGTGATAAACAGTCCCCAGCCGGTGTTCCAGGAGCACTGCCCAGCCCTGTCCTTGGAAGGGGGCGAGGAACTGGCGATGGGAACTTCTGGAAAGGATCGAGGGGTCGTGGCTTCCAAGGGGCGGCAAGGGGCCGCGGCCGAGGAGAAAACCAGGGCTTCTTCTATAACTATGACAGTGAAGGCCAGAAACAGAGACAGATAAATGAGCCAGTGACAAACACTTCCATCGTTGTGCAGGTGAGTGACTTGGTCACCTTTCTCTTGCTGCTTGAACTGTAGAGAAATGATGTATAAGATGAGCATTGTTAGAGAAACACAGATCAACAGGATAAAGGCTGATAGTTTCTTTATGTAGTTTCATAGTATTTCTGTTTACCTGCCCAAGGAAGTGTTTATCAAGCAATATTTAAATGATTACATTTTCGAAATCTGTACCTTATCTTTCTCAGATTTTTTTACTATCCATATAGCACATTGTTTTCTATTCTTATTATTAATTAAATCAGTGGGTTTACTGTTTCTTTCACAGAATCCAGTGGAGGTCCCCAAGAGAAACTATAGTGTATTACCTCTTCTAGCAGCTCCACCACAAGTGGGAGAAAGAATTGCCTTCAAGGTAAAGTACTTCTGGAATCTAGAATGCTGGGATGTTAGTGGGCTAAATATCTTGCATTTGGACCATTGCAAATTTTGCAGAGTGTGATACGGATAGCATAGTCCGACAGCCAGAAACTTAGACAAAAGAGTTTCAGCTTGCCTTGTTGTGGGACTTTTGTCCTAGAAATATAATAATTAGGAATTCATAAAGTCTGTTTTGTCCTAATTACTACTTTTTTTAAATGTTTTGTTCTAAATTTAAGTCATTCAGAAGCTAAAACTTTTTATTGTGTCTGATGTTTACAGGCATCTTCGAAAATTGTTCACACCTTTCTTACTGTCTTTCTAATCTAGTCATTTCCTGTATATTACAAACTCTTGCAGTTTCTATTGTTGGCTTTAAAAGAAATTTGGTATTTCTCCCCCACAGAAGTAATTATAGTTCACTACATAATGAAAAAGCAAAGGAAAATGAAGTGAAAAGGAAAATGATCTCCTTTTCCGGCTGGACCTGAAGGGAAGTCAGGGAGACCTGGCTGGGGCTGTGACCAGCATCAGGATCTAGGCTCCGTTCTGCTCTCTTGCTGAGTACAGGGGACATCACCAAAGATCTGGAAAAATTGTCACTTCTTTGTGTTTCTTTCAACAGCGCTTGGAACTAAATGATAATTACAGTCCTGAAGTTTCAGACTATAAGGTAACGTTCTTTACCTTTTCTTTATTTTTCTTAAAAGGGCAGTGCTGTCATAGACAAGAGAAAGCTTAAATGTTTCGAAGCTTTATGGTATTTTTCATCTCATCAGTTGACACTGCAGACTCTTTGGTGTTGCAGTAACAAAACTCTAAAAAAAATTGAAAGCTGTTTTTTTTTGTTTTTTTTTTTTAAATGCAAGTACTTCTACTGATGATTACTGTTTTAAAGAGAGGACAAAAATGCAGACTTTTAGGTAGAAAAATACAGTCATGCTGAAGTCTCCAGCTGTTAGTTTGAAGCCAAAGTGAATTCTTGAAACTGGTTGCAAGTAATTTTAGTAGCTCTTCAAATGACTTGGTTCCTGGCTAAGAGTGATTCTAGCTACAAGGACTGAGGGAATGAAAACCTTCTGGTTTATGGGGGCTATTAAATGAAGATTGTTGAGCTCTAATACTTTGCAGATTTTTATCTTTTTGTAACAAAAACGTATTTACTCGAATTGTGCTTAAGTATCAGAATGGTTACCCCATGCTGAAGTACACCATATCTGAGTCTTTTCTTGTTGTTTTATGAAGGAGGGGAAAATAATCAGTTGGAACGCTGATAAAAAACAGATAGAGCTTGAGATTCTGTCATCACCCGCAGGCAAGTACACATACCTTAGGATGCTGAATGCCCCTTGTCACGTACGTCCCCTGGAAAATGATGGTTCAGAAACAAACGTCTTTTATTTTTCAGGAATATTTCCTGTTTTCTTTTCACTGTCTACTCACCTCCCTCCCTGTCTGTTTATATAAAGATTTGACTAGTTTTCTTGAAGCCGTTCATATGTATTTGCAAAATTCAGTTTGTTTCAGTTTGTTGTTGATAAGCTTTTCTTCCATGCACTGAAGTGATATTAGGTAATTATCTTAATTTTGGTTTGTAATATTCAGTTCTGTCTCAAGATTTCTCTTTACCATTTTAAAAATTATTGATTTTAGTTATTAATTTATTATTTTAACTGAATATTTACCATTTTAAACATAAGATTTGAATTCAAAACTAAAGAGCTGTCCCAACCTGAATAAATTACTAAATTACTAATATAAGGAGCTGATATGGTGTTGTGCGATACAATAAAGCATAAAAGCAGACACAAAGTAACAGAGCTCAGGTGATTTCCCGAACCACTGGGACATGATTTGTTGCAGCTATTTGGAATAAACACTAAAAAATTTGCTAGGTGAGCTTTCTAAATACTGCGAAAATGTCTGCTTTTTTTTTTTTTTTTTTTTGTTGTTGTTGTTGTTTATGGTTAACTGAATTGGAGTATTTCTTCTTTTTTTGTTTCTGTTTTGTTTTTTCACATTTAAGTGGCTAAAGAGCCAGGGAAATTCGACCTGGTGTATCAATCTGCAGATGGAGCCGAGCTGATAGAGTATGCTGTTCCTCAGGATACAAAGGTGTGTCTCTCTTTAAAGTCTGTTGCAGTATTTCACATAGATGATACATTCCCTGGTTTATGCCACTGTTCATTTCAGTGAGATTTCTTTTACAGTGCATCTGATGAAAATCATAAATAAAACTAAAAATAATTGCTCCTTTCTAGTGAGAGTGCATGTGATTAAGAGATAGTCATCACATCTTAGTATTCGAAAAGCAGTCAGCAAACTGTGTAGGTTTTTGTTTTGGCTAATAAATATCATGTTGATCAGTTTGTACAGGCTTATTTGATGTTCTGAGTAAGGAAAGACACTGATAAGAAAACAATAGGAGAGTTGAGAGTCTCCTATTGTTTTCTTAAGTTAAGAGTCATTGGGAAGATTTCTAAATCACAGAATCTGTGATCTTTGTTTAGTAGCACTGTTGGTTAAGTCCAGGCAAAGCATAATGCAGAAGAAACTCCCATATACTTGCGCAGCTTATACACACGAATTATTTTCTTTTGTTTTTTTTTTTCAGATAACTGAAAATTGGGATGCATTGATAGAGCCCAGACTGATTGTTGAGCCTTCAGTTAATGGTTCGAACCTTGAAAATGGAAGGATCTAAAATAAGGACAAATGTCAATAACTTAATGGACTGTTTTGTGAAGTACTATGTGCTATGAAGACAGCAGATCCACTGGTGGATATTTTTAATAAATGTTTTTTAAATGAAAGTATGCCAAAAGAAAAGTAAATACTTTTTTTTTTTTTTTTTGCTCCACCCTTAGGATATGTTTTTTATTTATTATAGGAGTGCATTGTTTAATATAGGAAATATCTTTTTTTATAGAAGCTTGATAACGATTTCTGTGTCGTGCGCTCTGCATTGCAAAACTGGAATGGTTTGTTCAAAGAGATAAGTACCTGTCAGTAGCTCCAGTTTGTCTGGCCAAACTGCAGTATCACTGCAGTACAGAGGTAAATTGCTCTGAGGATAATTAAAAATTGCATTAAAATTTAAATGAAAGTATTAGTGATAGGCACTGCTCTTTCTCCACAAATACAGAGCACAATAAAAATGCTGTGGACTTGGCAGCTATACAGACGGTTCATTTAAACATGTCAAAAAAAGCCTATTGATAAAGGGTTATTGATATTAAGCTTCTGTAATTTTGAGAGCTGATGTTTTGAATCTTTTCAGCAAACTCTTTTGCCCTTTCAGAGCTGAAGTGTCCGTCCTGACTCCCTTCTTTTTTTTCTGAACACCAGAACAGGTTATCAGGTTTTGGCAACACATTTCACTGACATCCTGGCCAACTGTTGGCGTTGAGGTAGAACACTTACCTGTGTACAGCAGTTTGCCAATATGTAATCTTATAGTTTAAGATAATCCTTATCCCAGATACTTGAATCTAAAGCAGAAGATATGAAAAAAAAATACATGGATACAAACTCCAGAGAAAATGTATATTATGGTTTAGCTAAAATGTAGTCTCTAATACATGGTTATAATAAAATATTACCTTTGTATTATTTCTGTTAAAATGCCTTGTTCATGAAAAACACTTCTGTGTGAGTAAAAATTTCATGTCCATGCTGCATTTCTCTTTAGTTGCCATTATTTTATGTTAAAAATTATTTTAAAGTAATTGACAGTTGGGTTCATATATGGATGGATGTTCTTGCAAACTGGACAAAAAATAAATCCCAGGTCATTCAGCACAATTGTGCTGAGACAGGATCAATAAACAACAGAGGTTTGTTCAGTTCAGAAATGGGCAACCTGAGACCCTAAATCCTTCCAAGGCTGCAGTCTGACGGGTGACCCCGCAGCACAGCAGGATCTCGAGCGCTGCTCCGGGCGCCGGGGCGCTGCAGGGGAGGCGCTGGCAGGATCACGCCCCGGGGCAGGCGGCTTCAGCTGCTCCGCCGAGAAGCTCCATGGTGTCCATCAACACAGACACTCGTCTGCTGCCCACGCTGCCTCAGCCAACTCCGTCACTATTACCGAGTCCCCTGTTTTACGAGCAGCCCCTAAGCTGCCTTTAGCCCATCCACATCCACCGCACTGCCTGCACTGGTGAGCCGGTCGCTATCGGCTGCCTTGTGCCTGCAGCGAGGACACAGGTGAGCCAGGGCCCTGCGCGCTGCCCCGCTCCCCGCCGCGGAGCCGCCTCGCCCGGCGGGGCCGGGCTGGGAGTGCGGCCAGGCCCAGGACAGCCCCACGTGATTTCTCAGAAATTGCCTCTGCGAGTCGGGAGTTTCGCTTTGCCCGCAGCAGTGCAAGGTGGCAGGATGGCGTCGCTGACCCCCGCCGGGTCTGAGCCGTCGCTGGAGGACGAGCTGACCTGCTCCATCTGCCTCTGCCTCTTCAGCAGCCCCGTGACGGTGCCCTGCGGCCACAACTTCTGCGGCTCCTGCCTGGAGCTGACCTGGGCCGGGGCCGAGCGGGACCTCAGCTGCCCGCAGTGCCGCACCACGTTCGCCACCCGCCCGCAGCTGCGCAAGAACACGGTGCTGTGCCGCGTGGTGCAGGAGCTCCAGGGCGGCCTGGCCAAGGCCGAGGATGCCGCTAAGACGGAGGCCTGCGAGGCTGCCACCACTGTCCCCTGCGACAGCTGCCTGCAGGCGCTCGCGGCCAAGACCTGCCTCACCTGCATGGCCTCCTTCTGCCTGGAGCACCTGCGGCCGCACCACGAGAGCCCGGCCTTCCGTGACCACCAGCTGTGCCCGCCGCTGCCGGACCTGCAGCAGAGGAAGTGCGCGAGCCACAACAAGCTGATGGAGCTCTTCTGCCGCGAGCACGCGGCCTGCATCTGCTCCACCTGCATCCTCAGCCACCGCCTGTGCCACACCAGCCCCCTGCAGCAGGCCAAGGAGGAGGCCGAGGTGAGCGAGCGGGCTGGGCGTTTTCCGGCACTGAGGAAAAGCGGGGGATAGACACGTAAGCCACACTCATCCAAACCTAAGCCAGATGCACTGAGTTTAGGTCAGTCCATCCCTTCAGTTGATGGGTACGACCTAAGTGCATAACCTATGGAGTCCAACCTGGTTTGCTTAGCAGCATCCCAAACTAAAGGAATAGGTGTGTTTGTGAGCAGAAAGACTCTTTTACAAATGAGAGGGGTAAGAGGTAGCCCAAAGTCCAGTCTATGGCAAAGTTCACTCTTAGCACTGACAACTGCTGTGCTGATAAAAGTGTTTAGTCTCTATCAAGAGAGTGAGTCAACAGAAGAGGCCTCGGTACGCGGAGCAGGGGGAAGTGCTTGCTTCACCAGCTGCAAACAGACAGGGAATGTTTGTGTGTCCTGCGAGGATAAAGGAACAGCCTGCTTTGAATCCGTAGTACTGAGTGTTCACTGTGGTTATTAAAAACAGACTCTAAATTTGACTTGCACTCCAAAAACCATGACCTGTCCAAGAACGTCCACAGCAGATGCTTCACTCGAGTGTTTTCTCATCTCTCCTACCACAGCTAGCGCTGAAGAAGAGACTGATGCAGATCTATAACCAGAGCGGAAGAGCTGCTCAGGCACTGGGCCTCGTGAAGGCAAACCAAAGCAAGATCACTGTGAGTGGGCAACTCTTTCTATCCCAAATGCTCTCTGGTGGCTGTGGGTACTCATAGCCCTGTGACGGTAGCTGCAGTATTCAGGTCATGTTGCTAGGAGGAGGCCCTATGCCTCTAAATTTACACAGATGGTCTCTCCTTGAGCAGAAATCCTTGCTCTCGCTTGATGATTAGGGCTTTTGTATGTGATGGCGTCTAGACAGGGTAGACCTCACTTGTACCATCCTCTCTGAACTGGGTTGTGGAGACCAAGAAATTGAAGAGGTGTCAGGAGAGCGTTTCTGTGCTCCTTGGGGACGTCTCTCAGAGGACCAGGAAGAGCTTTGTGTCAAGCAGGGCTGTCTCAGAGCATGTTCATGAGGCAGAAATAACTATGGTCATGCAAGTGGGTGTGTGGCCACAGCTCTGGAGTGGCAGAACTTCGTTCCAATCTGCAGATGATTTCTAACCCACTAGATGGCACAGCTTGCCTGGCTTCTGCCCAGGAGCCCCTGGGAAACAGGAGTTTGGAGAGGGCAAAAAGTCTTTGCTTAGGAGTAGATGAGTTTTCCTCCCAAATCACACTGAACAACATAGCTCTTCTATCACCTGCTCCAGGTAACTGAAGCTCACATGTTCCTCAAAGACGTGGTTTTCTCTTGCAGTTGAACTTCTTTGCCCACAGATTGTTTTTCTGAAATCAGCATCTGTTTTTCCCTTGCCTGCTTCAGGAGACAGCTTCCAGGAAAAGAGACTTGATCACAACTGAGTTTTCAGAAATTAAAGCTTTAATTGGAGAAGAAGAAAATCGACTCTTAAAAATAATTGGCGATGAAGAAATCAGAGTTTGCAATAAGTTTGATTATATTTTGGGTGTTCTGAGAAGCAAGAACAATGAAATCCAGTCTATCAGAGATCAGATTGAGACGGCACTGACTGAACGTGATGACATTCTGTTTTTAAAGGTAACATGTTCCTTAGATGTTAATCCGATGCTTCATGTTCCTGGCATGCAGAGTCATGAAAAATTTGCTGTGGCAGTCCTGATCTCCAGACAGTTTTAATCAAGTGGTAATGCAGCTGTGTGCAAGAGCTTTCTTTAAAACGTGTATGGATAAGCACACAAATATCAATGAAACAACAGTTGTCTGGTAATCTCTCCCCTGCAATTCAAACCTTACATTTGCCACAAGAAGGCGAGTCACATAACTCATCTCCACAGCAAATCTTTCTGAGTGCTCTGGATATCATGGGGAAGTACATTGGTTGCTACAGAATTGTTGTCATGAGTTGCATCTGAAAACAGCCTTGACTCCTCTAAATCTGGGATAAATGCACAAAACCCATCCTAACATAACTTGACTGGGTTTGTCTACTTCATCAACAGAAGGTGGTCTGCACGAGATCTTCCATTTCTCGTTACAGAGAGCAGCTGCATTGCAACAAGTAACTACAAAAGATGTGTTCACCCCCACAATTGAAATGGACCAAAACATTTTACATTCCGCTTATCAGTCTGCCATTAACATTAAAGAAACTGTGAAGCTTCTAGTGACTCAGTCTAAGGAGAAAAGCGCAGAAGGTACCGTATCATTATCAGGAACCGAATCATTATCAGCATGGGCGCTTTGTAGGACATGGATTTGAGGGGAGACAAAAGCCTCTTTGAAAGGACAGGATTATGGTTATCCAGTCTTAAATGGGCTGAGAGTTCTTAGTGGGTTAAGCAACAGTTTCTTTAAGATTGGGGAATAGGTAACCTCTACACAATTTCCATCTCTGCCAATTATCACTTTCTAATTATGCAGCTGAAAAGCAAGCCTATCCTAGCTCTTGCACTACTGTTCCTGATAATAAAAATCATAACGTAAAGTATTATCATTGCAGCAAAAACCTCCGTTAGACCTAAGCCTCCTGGAGCAGCTTTTCCAAATAGAAACATTCATGTAAAAAAGCCTGTTGGACCACGTAAGTACTAAGCAACATCACCCTTTCCTAGCAATGGTCGGGCTGCTAAGCAAGAATTGAAGCCACTGCCCAAGAGCTCTGCGTGGGTGTGTGCTTGTAGCAGGGGTCTGCAGGCTGCAAAGCCTCCCTGCCCTTTGGTTCTCATAGCATTCCACTGCCTTTCTGTCTGGCCATGCCATGCAGTGTTTGTTTCACTTGTATTAAACATCTATGTTTGCATGTTTAATGGATTTGCATGTAACAAATCCTGCTTATAAGCTGTTCACATTTTTTTCTCCTCAGAAGAGGCTATCCAGAAAGAGAAAATCCAAAATCAGACTCAAGCTACCCCGCAAGAAGAGGCAGACACCAGTAAGTGGTGATCAGTAGCAGTGTGTTGCAACCTGACTCAAATATCTTGCTAGCTCAATCCTGCTTGGAATCTAAGGCTGGGATGATGGAGAGGGACTTTGTGGCACAGTGTACTAGGTCTTTCAGTGCTGCTACGGCAAGTTGCTGTGGTAATACTGTCTGAATTTGAAAGTTCTTCCATCATTTATTTTTGAAATAAGGACAAATATTAAGAAACGCCTGTCACTTAATTGTGAACAGAGATATTACAGAGGTGGACTAGACATGACCAAGTCTTTGCCTGGCTGACAGACACTAGAATGATCCACAGTTCTTACTCTTGAAAAGCAGTCCTGGGTAGGGAGCACTCACAAGGAGCTGTTCTGGATTGCAGCTGGTGAGCGGACTTGTAGGTGCCCTACAGCTGTGCAAGAACCATAAAGAGGAACAAGATAGTCTCTATGCCCCGTGGAACAGGCTTATTGCCACTAGCCCTACCACATTACAGCCTGAACTAGAGGATTCTTAAATCTCCTTCCAGGGTTATGAACTTACAAAATAAGAAGCAAACAGGTTGTGTAAGTTTTCAGAATGAAGGAATTTGTACTTAGCTTTCAACATGCTGGGCTCTCAGCCTTCTACTCCTGCAGCTTCAGAAAAGATAGGATGATGGGCTGCTGCTGATGTAAAATCTGTGCCTTTCTTAGTGGAACTAACAATTGCCTTTATTTTTTCAGAAGACAAAGACAAAAAGAAACCCGCTAAATCTGGTAAGTTCAAACTTTTAAAATACTGACCCTACTTTTCATTGACTGCTCTTAAATTCCAAGGAGATGGTCACCAGTATTGGTGTTGCTTCTAAGAAAGTTCTTACTAGTCATAGTGAGAGCAATCCAGCACCGAAAGACGTCGCTCCAAGATAACAGAGCATTTTCAAACCTTGACAAGACCATGAGCAACCTAAGCTAATGGTGAAGTTAGCTGTGCTTGGAGCAGGAAGCTAACCTCGGGATGTAGAGTCCAACCTGTATGTTTCCATGACTCTGCTAAATGTGCAGTTTCTTCCCAAATCGCCAAACTCTCTCTCTTGTCCTCTATCGACACAGCACAAAAACCAGGAGCACCAAATGCTGCATCTGCTGCTGCTGCTGCTACTAAACAACTGATTGACAGCTTTTTGAAGAAGCCCAGAGAGGAGCTTTTGCAGTGTAAGCAATCCAACACTTTTTAATATAGAATTTCCCACCTTTGTTGCATCAGTGTTATGTGACCTCTGTAGTTACTTGATAGAGATACTTTTGTGGGATTTAAGTAACTTATTAGGCAATCAAATAGTTGCTACAAGTCAAGGCGCTTTTTGGGGGGAAGGGGGCATGTGGTTTAAACTTTTTAAGTAGTGGCTCTTTCACCAGCTGGATCAAATTCATCTTTAGTATTCTTGTATTTGTGACAAGGCTTTGGACTCCCTTGCAAATTCCTCAGTAGTTCTCCACCTGCATCACAGGAGCCTAGAAATATAGTGAAATTCATTGGACTTTTCTTTGAAATTAACTGTGGGCTTTCACACAAGCCCCTGACAGCAATGTGTAGTTTCGGTGCCAGATCAGCAATCCCCTTCTTCTGCAAACATTTATTCGGGTGATGTAATGAATCCTACGATGATGCAGGGAAGAGGTAAACTTGCCTGCGTTGTTTGCCTGCTCTGTAACACAGAGCACAGGAAACAAGGGCCTCCACAGATCTGTGCAACTGAAAGGGTTGCTCTTCAGTCCCTTCAGCTGATGTGTGTCCTTGCAGATGCTGATAACATCACCCTGGATTACAATACAGCTCATAAACAAGTGATCCTGTCTGAGAAATACACCAAGATATCTGTCTCTGAAATCCCCTTGAATTACAGCGAGCACCCGCAGCGCTTCACCTATTGCTCCCAAGTGCTGGGGTTCCAGTGCTTCAAGCGAGGCATCCACTACTGGGAGGTGGATCTGCAGCAGAACAACTTCTGTGGCATCGGCATCTGCTACGGCAGCATGGAGCGACAGGGGCCCGAGAGCCGCCTGGGCAGGAACGGCAGCTCTTGGTGCATCGAGTGGTTCAATAACAAGATCTCAGCCTGGCACGACGACGTGGAAAAGTGCTTACCCAACACAAAGGCCACGCGGATCGGTGTGCTGCTGCACTGCGACCAGGGCTTTGTCATCTTCTTGGCTGTTGGGGAAAAGCACAACTTGATCTACAAGTACAAAGCACAGTTTACGGAAGCGCTGTATCCTGCCTTCTGGGTCTTCTCCAGTGGCACTGTTCTCTCTCTCTGTCAGCTGAAACCCTGATGTCTCTTAGCTTAACGTGGTGGTATTTACACAAATAATCAGTCCTGTAGCAACTCGTCTCTGTAGTCGTAACATGTGCTCTGAATTCAAGGAGAGCTATTGGTTTGCTGGGTACACAGGTAAAACTTCTCCATTTCAGTTGTGGGAGGAAGAGGAAAAAGGGAGTTTTGTCCCTAACTTCTAGCTTCCCAGCTGAGTGAAGAAAATAGGATTTCTGCACCATGGTAAAGTTAGAAGAAAGGGCTACTTGGTTGTGTTGATAGCCTTGTTCTTCTTTTATTCTTTCCCTCATCTTTAGCAAGCCTTAAATTTAATTGCAAGGGGGAGGGGAACTTTCTTTCTAGTCCAAAATACTTTTAACGCATGCAAGATAGACCTTTTAATAGCAATTTTAAAATAATAGATTTGAAATAATTCAAAGAAAAATGATACTGTACAGAATGGTACTATCCCTACCACACAGTATTATTTCAAGCAGCCTCAAAGATCCTCTGAGAGAGAAAAATTATTAGCTCTTTCACACATTTTGGGATATCTCTTGGTTCTTTAGTTTGAACTGTTACAATGGTGATTTTAAGTGCTGATTAAACCTGAGGTAAAAAGCATTTGCAAAGACCTTGATTGCTCTTCTGGAAGCAAAGTTATGATGACATTAAATGGCTTCAGTAGCTATCCCGACTTCTGCAGTTTCCCATAGCAGACTTCCAGAAGTCATTTTCTGTTCTAGATGTCTTGCCTTGCAAGCAATAACCCCTTTGAGAAGGAAACAGGAGGAACCCCTTTAGAAATTTAGGTTCCAGGCTTTGAGGTTGGTCTGTTACCTTTTTCTCTACCCTTAGACTGTTGTGCATAGTCAGGATTTGAAATATAAATGTTCTCAATATATAACTGAGAGCTATGGAGTTAACTATCAAAATCAGCAAATTTAGGTCTTAAATCATTAAACCATAAAAGCCAATATGACAAATCTCACCAGAGCAGAAATGCAGGGCCAAAGCATTTGCATCACTGGGAACTCTGGTGTTCCCAGGAGTTTGGGAACACATGGAGGTGTCCTGAGGGAGGCACCCTGCAGAGCTGCAGTGCCTACCCTGTGCTCACACTCTCCTTGGGATGAAGCATTTTATCCTGTTCTAAACCAGAATGTGCTTCACACCTTCACAGCAAAGGCTCTTCAGTATTTCTTTGTATTGAGGAGTTCAGGGAGCATATTTTGGGCTTGCACAGGAGCATAAATGTTTTGATCCCTTACAGCAGGCTGTCCTGTCATAAAGCTTTTTCTCTTTATGAGGCAGGATATTCTCTGCAGGCTTATCTCCTGTGGTTCAGAGCATAGGGACCAGATCTCCTGCATTCTGGCCATGCTCCTGAGACTGTGGTTTCCATGGTCTGCAAGCGGCGCGCTCAGTAATGCTCAGAGGATGCCGTTTGCTCTGTGCATGAAGCAGGCAGGTCAAGTGGCTCTTCTGCAACACACAGGGATGCAGCACACACGAGAACACACGTCCACCCCTGCTGGGATGGATTTTTATTTCTGGTGTTCTTTGCCTAGGTTTATGGTGTGTGTCCAGAGCTCTTCACCACGTACAGAGGATTTTGTACTACTTATTCTCTATTTCTTTGTAAAAGCTTTTAAACAATCAGGAGGCAATCAAGGTATTTGGATCTCATACTTCTTGGGCCAGTATCTTGTTCATGCCTCTAGATGTACTCTGCTAGTTCTTATTTCTTGGACTAGCCCACAGGGAATGGGGAAGCCGAAAGAGAAACCTACTGGGCTTTGATGGGTGAGACTCTTGGCATGCTTTGTGAAATAAAATGCAAGGCTATTAGTGGCAGTTTGAAGAGAACTGTGAGAATGAAAATTTTGAGAAGAACCTTTTGTGACATTTCACAGTAGCTGAAGTGCTTCACAAAAAAAAAAAAAGTTAGGACTTAACTATTTTCATTTGATTTGTAAACTCTCCAGCACATTGTCAAGTAAAGCACCAGTCAGATGAACTGCTTCAATTCTTCTGGCCAAAAAGAGATTTTTAATTGCAGTTAGACCTAGAGATGGTGCAATGGTTGTCTTTGGATCAGTTGTACCATAAAAAGGGACTCAGCTTTCCAAAGTACAATCAGTACTAGAGTCAGTACTAAAACTATCAAATTAAGTAAACATTAAGAAAGGAGAGGAAGCAAAATGTGAGGCTGGTTTTTAGGAGCCAGCAGTGAATGCAAACCTTCCCTCTGCTTTTGTCCTGTCTTTGGAGTAGACAGAGAAGGGAAGACCAGGGCCAGAAGCCAAATAAAGAACAGGACAAAGCCCCCGTGGCCGTATTTGGAGGTGAAATTGCTGATGAGAGTGAAGTTGTGACAACGCGGAGATGCTGAAGCGATACAGCCTGGTGAGCACGCAGAATGGATGGATTCCTGTCCAGGACGGAGTCTCAGTATCTCTGCTTCATTGCTGAGGAGCTCTGTGATTAATCCCACCCAAAGCCTCACTGCTCACGTGTTTGGCTTCAGGAATGCTTTACACGGGAGAGGCACTGGAAATGTTCTTGCCTGTGTCAGTGCTGGTTGCTCTGGAGTCTCTCTCTCTGTACGTTGCCATTTGATAAAATGCTCTGCCTCCTAGCAAGGCATTTTCAGGTGGGCTTTGCCCCTGGGAGTCCCACGCAGGTTTTGGTTCTACAGTACTTTGAGTTTTCACTTAGTAAGATATAGGTTTAAACTCTTAAGTCTTGACTTGTCATCAGCTATTCTGGTTGCTCCCTTTTTTTATGAGACATTCCAGTTGTTTTGCTGTGGGGAGCAAGAGCATTTAACCAGCAGGCCTCTAAAATGTTCTTTAGCAACAGTTTTCTGAGTAAATAATAGCTCAAAAGCCTCTTTAGTGCAACTCGAGGTGTTTTTACTCTGGCAGTAATAATGCCAAAACTGCACTGGTTTTAGATAAAACACAGGTATGAACAGGCTTTTCAGCTACCCTGCCCTTGACACTGCTGCTCTGACTGCAAGGCAGGCAAGAGAGGGTAACTGGAGAAACAGTCAATGAAAATACACTTACTATATCATAATCCTCTGATTCTAATAGTAAAATACTGCAACTACAAAAATAAATATTGTGGTAATTAGAGAGCTTTGTTGATTGTACTAGGCCATGGAGTATTTTAGTGTGATAGTACTTGCTATTTCATATATATATATATATATATGTCTAAAGGTCCCTTCCAACCTTAAGGATTCTATAATTCTATGTTTCAGTTAGATATGCTTACTAGGGGAATAAACATATATTTTGTTATCTGTTTTAAAAATAACTTCTAGCACAATCATAAGTTGACTATTGCTGATGTTTTCTCACTTTTCAACCAAATAACTTCTGACATTTTAATTCAATAAAAATAGACAATAAACTAATGCACAATAAACTAACTGTTTTGTTCAATGCTCAAAGTAACAAAGAATTCAAAAATAAGATTCTGCAAGGCACAAGTAATTGGCTCATGCAGAGCTCATAAGAGGACCTGGGGAATGAGAGGAAAGTAACACAGCCACATGGTTTGGGACTATGAAAAATCCCCTCACAACTTGTCTCCTTCAGCCGAACCAGGGCACCCTTTATCAGCAAGGATGCATCCTACCCAGGAACAAGAGGGCCATCCTATCCAATAAACAAAACTGGAGACCTCCTGGGGTAAGCAGAAAGCTGCCATCACTTAGTAATAATAATAGTGCAGGTTCCTCCAAAGAGGTGCACTGGGATTGTTTAAAAAGAGCCGAGAGGATCTCCAGCAGTCACCAGTTCTAGTCCGTATTCACCAAAGTGAATCCAAAGGGATTTGGGTCCATCTTCCAGTGACAGACCTGCATCCCCAGGTGTCCATGCAGTGGAAAGGAGCTCACAAGGGCTGCTCTGGTGGTTCAAGAGGCTTTTCATAGTTGGCCAAAACAAAAGCGTCCACAAAACAACTTACTGGTTTGACTTTGCCACTAACTTCCCTGGAAGCTCGCATGAAAAGTTTGGTCAGTTCAAGGATACTTTTTTGTTGTTGTTGTTCTGGTCTATGCTCAAAAACAATGATTGTCACAGACTATCTCCCTCCATGGGAGCGTGACATTTTCTGTTGGCAGCAGCAACAGAAGTTGCTCCAAGAATTAGGGTGTGATTTGATTGGAAAAGAAAGAGCTTATTAAGCATTTTTCATAGAAAGGCTTTGGGATTTTTCTCAAAATATCAACCATTTAGCAAAAGACACTCTAGGGGCTGACAAACGAGATGCCGAACTCAAAGTACTTCTGTTGAAGCCTCACTTAATAGATAAATAAATAAATAATTCACATAACCTGCCAGTGCCTCCTTCCCTCAAAGCAAACCTAGCTGGTTTTTTGGAAGCAAAGGCAAAATGAGAAATAGCCTTTACATGTAAGGCTTTTTTCCGCCCCCCCCCCCCCTTTTGTCATACGTGCAAAGAACAAAGCTCTCATCCCAGACCTGGCTGTCATGAGACAACAATCCTTAGAAAAAGGACCAAAAGACCAAAGACCAAAAAGGACCAAAAGACCAAAAGGACCAAACAGAAATCTACACTCTGTTTTTTTAACAGCATCATGATATCATGATGAAAAACAACCAACCAACCTAGAAAACCGTTCAAGAATTACAACTCCCAGCAGGAAAGCAGTCATTCAGCTTTCTTAGTGTTTTGTAAGTACGTATGGAGTTCATAGTTGTATTTCTTTTTGCAGACACTGGAGAGCATAGACATTCCACGACTTCAAGTAAATAACCAAATACATACAAACAATAAATGCATAAAGGCAAAGTGGTTTCTGTCAGCTTACCAGGATCCCTGCTGCAAGTGGCCAGAAGTTCCACACTGGCACAGGGGTGGCCCATAGCTGGGAGAGAAGAGAGGGAGTAACTTAATATGAAATTCCTGTGAGATTGCTGAAATACAGCAGACCTACAAGCCACAGTAGCACTGTGATCAGATGCAAAAAAACCCACTCTTATGCAAGTACAATTAAAACATATAGTCAATTTAATAACTGAATAAGCACAAATAAAAAGAAGAAAAAAAAAAAAGGCAGAAATCTTTGACACCTCATTGCAGGTGGTAGGCAGTTGCAGCACAAGTCCCCCAGGCTGCAGGTTGCTAAAGGAGACGGAGGGTTTCTCTTTACATTGCAGTGGTTTCCGCTGCAGAGTCCCCAAGCTGTAGCTGCCACCATCACGCTGTACCTGTCACCCCTCGCGCTGTACCCACGCGCGGTCATGCACCACTTTGGTCCCCTCGCAGTGACAGACTGACAGACATCCCTGCCACAGGGGCTGAGCACACAGGGGACGGCTCTGATGGCCCCCGCAGCGCGGGACAGCCCTGCTCTTACCTCCTGGCAGCGCCGTCTCATCAGAGCTCGCACCGCGGGCCGGCCTGTGGGATGAGCGGCTCGTGGCAGCCGTGGGCACCAGGGCAGGGGGGCTGATGCCCCTTTGGCCTTGCCCAGCACCCAGGGCGGTTGCTTGGCCTTTTCCATGCAGATACTCGCACCGCTGCGGCGTCTGGCTGGCCCGACATGACGGGGCTAGCGCAGGGTCCCCCTGCCCCAGGAGCAATGGGGCACATGGGGCAGCCCCAGCACTGCAAACAGGGCTGAGGCCACTGCCAGAACAACACAGAGCCCCATGAGGAAGATACCAAGCTCCCTGCCTTAAATCTGCTCCCTCGGGCCCTCCCTCTCCAGCCCCACAGGTGTGGGGAGGGAATTGCCGCCACCTGAGGCGGCCCTGCTCCAGAGCGGGGCCTGCGGGCAGCAGGGCGGCCTCATGTGCGGCCACCACTGACAGGAGCCAACAGCTCCTACTCCCCCAACAGCTCCTCTGATGGCTCCTCTACGGGCTCCCCCTCCCGCCACCTTACTCCAAGGCCTCCTCTAAAGGCCTCCTCCATCTCCCCCAAGGCCTCCTCTAAAGGCCTCCTCCCAGGGCTCCTGCCTCAGCGCTGGCCGCAGGGAGATGGCAGCCGGGCTGCACGGCTCACCCGCACCCCGGCCCATCACTTCTGCCCTGCTCTGCTGCTCCCGCCTCACCGTGCCAAGGACCCGGGCGCCCCTGTGCTCCCAGGGCTGCCAAGCCGAGGGCCTTTGTGCGACGCGAGTCCCTCAAGCGACTCCCAAGGGAGCCCCAAAGGCAGCTCCCGAGCGCGGAGCCCGGGACCCACAGGGGACACAGGTCCTGCCCCGCCAGGCTGGCACAGCACAGGTTGAAACCCACAGTCACAGTGCTCTTTAAAGAGAAGATGGCTGTAGATGCATTTTCTCTATAAAAAGTGCAATTTTTGTTTCTTCACACATCTGTTGTCAGTGATTTAAACAATTTAAACAATTGGTTTTTAAACATGAAGTTTAATCACTTGACATCCCTCTATTAAAAAGCCACATAAACTCAGCTTTGCCCCAGGTCCACATCGCAGTTTCTAAAAAATCGGGCCCCTGCCATTTATTTTTCAAGGGCAGCAGAAGCCCCGGTGGTGTAAAAGGCATTGGGCCTGTTTGAGGCTGGTGCAGTCCAGAGCTTTCCCTGGGGCAGAAAGGATTTTTTTACGTTTATAGCTGTTTATGGGCTGAATGTTTCAGTTAATAAACTGTAATGAGGGGGCTTGCTGAGCACGCACACAGGGAAAGGCAGCATAGAAGAAATAAAGTAGGAGTTCTTAAGTTTACAAGGTGCACAGGTTAATGGTCCAGACACTCTTTAATGCCAAGTGAGGAAAGGGCCGGCTCTCATCACCGAAGCCTATTAGAGCTGGGCAAAGAGTTAAGTCAAATTAGTAACATCCATGAGAAGCTGTAAATGGCACAAAGAGGCGGGGTAGAGCGCTTAATATATATTATGTAAAAGCTGTGAGAAGAATCAACCCAAAGTGGGTGCTGGGACATCCCTGTACTCTGCTCCCCGAGTTCCACATACGTCTGACATAACCACGTTGCTGTCTAGAACTATTTCCATGGACCGAGGCTTGAAAGACGGCTCGTTGCAGAGGGATTTCAGGCAGAAGCGGGGCTGCAGCGTTCAACAAAATGACTCTGTTGTCCAAGCAACCAACCATGTGACACCGCAGCCCTACAAAAGCCCAGTGCTTAACTGGAGTTAAGCCAGTGCTTAACATGAGCTTATTACACCTAGGAAAGATAAGAAGTCTCCTACTTAAAAAAAAAAAAAAACACACACACCTTAAGGAACAGGAAAAACTACATGAGTTTAAACACTTTAATCCACATACTTTAATCTACAGGGAAATACAGTAGAAATAACAAGACAACAAAAAGATGCATTAAGAAATTCAAAAAGTCAGTGCTGTGGAAAAAGAAAGCTTATATTTATGAACATCTAAGAATGTGGAGCAGATGTTTCTCAGAAGAGCTTTCTGAATGCCTAAGTCGTAAGAACCAGGCCATGATGCAACTCTCTGAAGGCCAAGTTTACTCCACACTTTCCAGATATCACTGAATAGAAGTCACAGAGCCTGAGGGAGCTCTGCACCTTAACTGAAGTTACTACTCTTTGAGCCAGGTTCTGTTGATAAATTCTTAAATGACACACATTACTCATGTATAGTGATCAATTAAATTTGTCACAGGGTGATATCATCTGCCAATGACGGTGCAAACAATGCAGAAAGTTTGACAGTAAGTTCCAGAATCACTCTTGCTTTGTCCATACAGCAAATTACAAGCACCCTTTCCAGCTTTTGCAGCTATGAGTTTTACACAAATACCTCCTCCTCTCGTTCTCGCCTACCTTTTAAAAAATAGTAGGCTGAAAAGAAAAAAAAACCCACTGGGATTTGCAGGCATCACCTGATGTCAAAAAAGTGTACAAATCTTTCTACCCTAAAAATTTACACCAGAGGTTCAACATTACGAGCAGTGTATGTAGGAACATTACAGAGTACATACACTCCACAGGTGCGAGCCTTCAGCTTTGCTCAGAATTTATGTTTTCTGAGAAGAGAGGTGAGGATGGTGCCAATGGCTTTACTGATCTTTGGACACTAATACTTTTATCTTAAAATTAAAGACAGAAGGAAGCTACAGCTTTGTCAAGTACACTGATTTTTTTTTTACTAGCCTTGTATGGGGAAAAGAAATAAAGAATCCCATATGTCATCTTTGTTGGTTGGCAGAAACTGAGATGTTACAAATTCTACTTTTGGACCAGATGTTTGCATTTAAAGTTTCTTTCTTCTTATTCAGTACAACTTCAGAATATTCATAAACACATTCAATACAATCCACAAAAATCACAGTATTTCCAAACTAATTATGTTTTTAAAAAACATGCTGGTATTTTCTTGTAAGTAGTTACAACTAATTTAAGGTTACAGCTCTCAACCACATTCTTACAGTACTCTGATTGCTATTACTGAATAGAAATAACTATACATACTGAAGCTACAAGCTACAAAAATAAAAATCCATTCTGTTTAACTATAAAAAATCTTATAAAGAGAAAACGGCTGGAGGTACTTTAAGGACTACAATAGTTGGTAGCAGACAAAATGGCTTTTGCAGGATGTAAACTTCGAAGATACTAAACGGAATAAACTCAACAATATTAGCTTCCATTTCTGCTTAAAAGAAAGTTTTTTACACAGAAATCTACAAACAAGTTGCAAATTAAATGTAACAAAATGAATTACATATAGCAATAAAAGCAATAACCACAGTACATGGGGCAGGATTAACAATGTAAAGTTTCAATACATTCATCCTTTCAAATAGTCAGGGTCAGACACTCAGCTGCTGTAAGTCTGCACTAATTTACTGCTTACTTGAGGCATGTGGCTTTACCCCAGCTAGAAGTGTCTCCCTGAGAACCCCAAAATCTGAGCTGAGTATCTAGTACTCAACAAACTGAGGTAAAGAATTTGGATCACATCATGCTTTTGGAAGTGAGTATAGTTAAACACACATCTAAATTCTCCCAATATAGCTAATTCTTAAATGAAGAAGTGGTGCTCTCATTATCCCTGTGGTCAAGAAGCTGAAATAACACTAAGTTTAACTTACTCTTGCTATAGCATTGTCTCAGGAAGATGAAATAGACTCTAAGCTCTGTTAAAACACTACAGCATTTTCTTATGTAATCAGGATAAACTCAGTTTTTGTTTTCCAAGAGTTTCTAAGTGTTTCCAAGAGTAAGCACTTAACACTTCTCAAAGTAAAATGTATTTTAATTTGCCTAGTGCCTTAAAAGCAAGGCCTGAAAGAACTACAAAGGGGCAACAGTCAAATGCAGGGCATCTAAACTGGCTTCTTCTAACCCTGCTCTGAATCGCTCCAAGTGAAAGAAGTAAAACTAAGCCTAGGAGAAAGGCGCAGTGCATGTGTAGTTCACATATCCCTCTCAAGATGCACGGATCAAGCAGGCCAAGCAGGCCTGGGCCTGGCAAGCAGCTCCTCAACCAGGGCCTTCCCGTGCGGGTTTTGGTTTTCCGAGTCTGACACAAAGATACTGTATGTGAAGACTGGTAGAAGCTAAAACTATTAATTATTTGTCTTTGGGGAACACCCCTTTCACCACTGAAACACTAAGAGGGCAAGGGAGAGCCCTTCTGCGCAGGGTACGATGTCCAGGCCACGAGTACCCTCCTCTGGATGCGGAGGGCACTGCAGCATTTCCAGGTTTCCAATCGCAGTTTTCAGGCAAGACTACTCAGGAGCTGTTTGAACTGGTGCTTTATGCCTTCGACCAACATTACAAAGCACATAGCAGTTTCACATCCACAACACACACCACAAGCAGGTACAGCTATTTTACAAGCTACAGAAGTGCTTTACTACTTCATTCCCATTAGGCTTAGAATCCGGGAGCCCACCACTGCTGACATTTAACCCCTGCCACTAGATTAAAACCGAACCATTCCAACAGGGCAATTCAAACCAGACTAACTCATTCTGCAACACACTGAAAAGGTGGGCACATCTAAACCAAGAGTGCTGGGAAAAGCAAGATTTCCCAAATTCTAGCACTCTTTTTTAAAAGTTCATAATACATATGACAATACATACAGTTACAGTAGGATGACCAACTTCATGTTGGATTTGAAACTGGACACTTCAATTTTGCAGAACATTCTCCATACAAGAAAAACAATTTTACTGGAGACTTTTCGTGCCTAAACTGGCTAAGTTTGCCATGTATTTACTGTAAGCACCCAGACTGATTTTAAGAAACAGAGCCTTCTTCCTACTGCAAGCGATAAAGGGATGACCTGTCCAATACACACCAGACCACTTACAGGCAGTTCTCCCAAAGAGCCAAGTGGCTCCTCTTACTTCTCTTATTCTCCTGCATAAGGAGTTAGGTTTCCCAAAGACTATTTCACACACTTGGGAAAGAATTCCTTGGAAGATTCAGTAACTGGGAGGATATAGCCTGCATAAATAAAGCACCTGGGTGCTATGTCACCCAGACAAAATAGAAGTGGAGAAGCTGTCTCATCTGCTACAGAAAAAGGAGGCTTTCCAAAATCTTCATATCATTTTTTTCTTCTCCTTAGATGCTGGGAGTGCAAAGACTGAAGTTTTGGAGCTGTTTTATGTCCCAATAATCATTAACTGTTCCAATAATTACCTGACCAACTTTAGGTAGCTCTTAAACTCTCATAAATAGCTTAGACAGCCAGTACTGTCATTTCTCTTGAGAAAATATTGCTTTTCATAGCACACATACTGCTTTTTCAGAGACTTGTAATTGGTTTGTAAACAACAGTTTAAGAAAACCACAGCTTCGAACTTAAATATCTTTGAGGATGCTGATGCTTACAAGTTATTTACACAAAAATAAATTAACAACTTCTAACTAGTAAGATTTTAAAAGTTAATATAAATTCAATGTTCATAACTAAAAAAAATAAGATAATGGATTTATCTAACATTGCATGTTTCAAGGTATTTTATATACTTTTCATATATATATTTAACTATTCATGTTCTCCATATTTACATATTATAAAATGAATGAGGTGAGTATGGCTAATGAACATGGAATTTACAAATGCCTTCTGCTGTACATTCATTACACTCTAATCACATGTTCAGACATCTAGACATTCACTGATAATCAGTAGTATCAAGATCTAGCACATGCACTTTCTAGAACAAATACCATTGAGTTAAAAAAGGTTTCCAAAGAGGATTACAATGGAAGGTTTTAAAAAATATTGACTTTGTCAAGGCTTCAATAAGTTATTTTAAAATATAAATAGTTCATTCATGGTTAATGCAAGCTTCTGTTTTATAGATTGTTGTAAAACAGTTTCATCTTACAAAACCTAGAAATACACCCTACTTTACCCAATGGTATCACTCTCAGTTAGCATAAAGAAAGAGAAAAAAAAAAGGGGGGGGGGGGAGTTTTGAAAATAGTAGTATTCAATGTTCAGATCAATGCCCCTCAATTCCCCTTACTGCCCTCAGCTTATGCAGTATAAACCGAGCACAAATGCACTTCCTACTCAGAGATGACCTTCACTAAATCAACTGGAATTAAGTGAATTTGTGACAAAATTTACAGTGTAATTCACAGCTCTCAGCTGCTGCAGGCTTAAAATATGTGTAGAGGAAAAAAAAAAAAGAAACAAAAAAGCAGATCCTTTCTTCTGTTCTTCATGAAGATGTTCTCACCTGAGAAGCTTTTAACCTGAGAAGCTTCAGATATGTCAAATTGACAGTTGGTGTGTACTGTTGTTTAGAAACATTAAGAACACATGCAATCAAGATCATCTTTTTTTGTGGCCATACATTTACATGGGAAATGCAGACTTGGGTCCAGCAAAGTATCTTCCACCCCCATAAGAGCCGATCACAAAACTGTGTTTCTTTTGTTTGTTTTCCCCTTCCCCAGAATCAAGTTAATACACACAAAGGCTAGAACCTGCTAACCTCTGCGAGCTTGCCTCTCAACCCCTACACTCACAACTGACATGGATAACACAACACCCTGCCATATCATTTTCAGCTAATTATCACAGAAGATCTTTAGCAGCCCTTTAAAAGCATTGCTGAGCTTCCTAATTTCTTTAAAACCCCACTATATGCAACCAAAAAGAGCTCTCTGGTCCATGGTCTCTTCCAACAAGCCTGTTTAAGAACCAAGACAGGCTGCTTATTTATAAAAGCCTAGAACTGACCCTCATTTAATGGGAGCAGCTGGCCACAAGAACATTCAGTACAAGTCATAGTGGAATTATCTTGATGCTGCATCTTGGGTCCTGAGGCCCGCAGGAGTACATTACTTTGTCTTACACAGCCCCTGAAAGAGTCACTGGCTAACAGACCATTTCCAGAAGCCTTTTCTCCAAAAACATTTTCTTTGCTTACCTACTTCTCCGAAGAACCCGGATCCTCCGGTCAAAGCTACTAGATATGTTCTGCACATGCAGATTCTCAGAGAAGCAGGTCTCCACTCCCCAGAAAATATGATAGGCAGGAGCAGGCTCTTACCAGAATACTCAGCCCACATGCTACTTGTCTGATCGGGAGCTGCTCCTGGGAAAAAGGGCAGGTGGAAGCAGGCTGAACTCCCACGTGATCCCTCTCTGGGAGTAGGAAGCCTCTTGCACATTACACTGTGCACGTGCTGATGTCTGCTAGCTCAGCAAGGAAAGGCTGCAGTATCTGTCCCTCTCCTGCCATTGGAGTAACCAACTCTTGCAGCTGGAAGGACTGGGCACCACCAATTGGAAAAAAAAAGGCAAAGTAGTTGCAGCAATTCAGCTGTGAAAGTTTTCATGAGTGTGAAAGCATGGCTTTTTCCTCACCCCTAGTTTGTTCACAAGCATGAACCTTACAGCATAAGCTTTCATCTGGATTAAATGTTCTCAGTGCTTTTAAACACAAACTTTATCACGGTATTACGTTAAGTTTTAAAAACCTACACATCTTCATCAGTCTGCTCTCTCACGTGCTCTTGCTCAGACAGGCTGGAAGCGTCGTCATCCGTTTGCTCACCGGAGTGATAGAGCATCAGTGCATGTGTCTTATGAGTTATGGTAACAGTGCAGGGCCCCTGAGCCCACGGTTCACCATCCACCTGCATTGGCATCTTTGAACTCTTCAAGATCAGCTAGTATTAAACAGAAAAACACAGAAAATCACAGCAACTCAAAGCAGCTCTGAAGATATCTCTTACATCTATAATGTACAGATGCTGCAAGGTTTCAGCCTCACCAGGGAGTAGCTTGGTATATAATTAGCAGGACTTACAGGCCACAGCAACAGAGGTTTGTAAACTATGACATAATTTAACTCTACCAACCAGCAGGAACAACCAGCTCCACCCTAAATTGAAATTTTAGAAAAAAAGAGACTCGACCAGACAGTTGAGCACTTGAAGTTGTATCCTGTGTACTGAAAAAAGTACAGGGAAATGCATTTATAAATACCACTTACCCTTACTGTATGTGCCTGCCCTAGACGAACAGGATTTGCCAGCTTCACCTGTATCTGGGCACAGTGAAAAGAACCATAAACTCCAACAACTTCCAGCAGTCCATCATCATGCCTATGAATTAAGAGATACTTTTAAGTGATGCTCATCAGTTCCTAAACACCAGTTCAAACTTTACAGTCCTTTATCACTATTATTAAGGTCTGCTTAGCCTGATGCACTGCATACCTTGCCAAGGGATAAGGTTCATCACCCATTCCTTCCCAGAGTCTGCAGCCACCTCCCCAGTATCCAATATTCAGGACAATGATGCCTTCCAAGTTGGGCAACTCGATTCTCTCGCCATCCAACTCTAGCTTTAAAAGACACAGAACACAAGTTAGCTACTGCGGATGAAATTCAGTTCTTCAGCATATGGTTATCACCTTTATGAATTTACTAGGGCTCCAATAAAGTCAACAGCGGAAAATACACCTCTCAGCAAAACTACTGACATAACAACGGAACATCTTTAACAATTAAAAAAAAAATTGTTAAATATCAGTATTTGAACTCAGAGACCTGAATCAAAGATACAAAAAAAATCAGGGATCACTGGTAGAGTGCAGTGGCAGGAATTCCATGCAGCTGCAAGTAGCCAACATCAAAAACCCTTCAGCAGGTCCATCCAGAGCCATCCTCCACACAGGCATTACATTGTAGATGTGTAACGCAAAGCTCTTTCCCCTTCCTTTCACTGGAAAAGCTTTTACATCCCCCTGGTTGTCCAGAAAATAAACGGGCAAGCTAAAAAACTTACCTCAACCTTCTTGTTGAGATCTTTACATTCTTGTACTAAGCAGTCTTTGGTTCCATAGAAAAAGTAAACAGCCTATATATTAAAAAAAAAACAATAAAAAAAACACACCATAAAATACTATTAGGAAAAATACAGTACCATGAGACTAGTTAAAATATTCATGTAGAGTTATGGTTCTGTGAGCCTTATGTAAAATTCATGCATAACAGAATATCTGCATATCTTTCAAGTTCTCTTAATGAGCTAAGCTACAAGTCCCTTAAGAACCTTGTTTTCACTTTTAAAATGCAATGAGCAATGTCCCTAAGCTAACCCATTTAGTTTCAAAGTAAACAAGAAGCTCTAAACAAAAATTAAACAAGCAAGAGCGTAGACATAAACAAGCTAACAAACAGAGGCAAGACAAAATGCTTAGGAATAGACTGGAAACATATTTAAATCATGAAATCCTCCCCCCAAGAGCAATGAGTTCAAACTTCTCTAAAACGGGATGAAAAGATGCTGTGAAATAAAGAAATGTATCACCCCGTCATATCAGAGCACATATTCCACATCAAAATTTAGGACTAATAACAGGGAGGGAAGAAAGGAGTGGGGGGAGGCAGTATAAAGTTTGGTCAACAAAGCTGCTGTGCAGAAGAAACAGATCACTGAAGACATATTTCCTTTCAAAATAACACAGCCCTTGACAAAACAGAATAAACACTTAAAATCCAAACACAACAATTCAGATGGATCTCTAAGACTTATTTGAAAGACCTTCTAGCATGCTATGCTGGCAAAAAAAAACCCCATGCAGATTATTTTAATAAAAGCTGCAAGTCAAACAGCAAACCCACCTTATTAATAATTCTGCTGGAAAACAGAGAGGGAGTCTTCTCCCGATGCGCATGGAAATTTAAAGCCATAAGAGCATCAGGTCCTATAGAAAAGTAGTTGTTCATTGTGAACACCTGTCAGACAGAAGTTTTAGTTAAGATCGTATTGAATTTCATATTATTAGAATTTCAGAATGTAAGGCGTTATTAGAAGTAGGTAAACAGAAGGGTAAGTACATCCACACAGATATTCCAAAACCCCAACATTTTAACTTCCAACCATACCTTTGGTTTCCTTAAATTGTAGTATCCTTTATTTGTTACTTGAACCTTCCATCTGAAAAACAAAAGCTATTATTCAGACACATGACAGATAACGTTCTCACATCTAGTGTGTAGTTAAGGTTCTCATACCTATACTGAAGTCAGAAGGTTCAGATTTAGTTAGCTATAAGAATTAAATGTTGTAAAGCAGCTAGAAGATGACTTATTTTGGACATAACTTATTACATAGGTCTCTAGCCAAGCAGTACCCGTGCTTCTTTAGACATGCTGCTGGGTATCAAAAGATCTATAATAACATTCAGTTCTATAGAATGTATCTTTCCACCATTACTTGCCTGTCCAGTTTGATTCCATCTGCTTCCATGACATTTCGTAAGATCTGTTCTACAGGGACTTCTCCAGCATAACCTGCACCCCAGCCCAGTGTATTAGACAGATCGTTGCCTGTTCCCAGAGGTAAGATTGCAACTTGGGGAATAAAGCGTTCCTGCCCCTGAGACACAGAAACACCAGATATTAGCTCCTTTTTCAGGAAAAGGGAAAAATAATGCATAAAATGTTCTGAAGATTGCTCTTGTTGTACAAAGAACAACTTTAAGTATATACTTAAAGTCTGGAGCTTTTATATTTTTCCTGAACTGCAAGTTCATATCAAAACAGCTTCCCCTCCTCCCCACCAATATGACTGCAATGCATAGATTAATTTTCTCTAGCTTTATTCATTGCCATGATCAATAAATGCAGGTAAGAGAGCAGGGCTCAGGATCTGAGCAGTGACAAAATTCACTTCTCCACAAGAGACATTCAGAGTTAAACCCAGTACCTTTATCTTCATCTCATCGATGGCATCCAGGACCCAGCCCACTGTGCCATCGCCTCCACAGACGAGGACCCTGACAGCATTGCAGGGCAGCAAGGTACAAAGCTGGAGTGCTTTAGCAGGTGCTATTTTGCTTAGATCAAAAACCTAGAATTGAGGAAAATGAGTAGTCTAAGGTCAAAGAACATGACTCGGGAATTGCCTCACAGACAAGTTACTTCCAGTTGATTCTGATGGAAATCTGCTTCCTTTGTTTTGCTTGATTTATCAAGGATAAGTTCTAAAAAAAGTCTGTATCTAGTAACATTACAGTGAATTTTCTAAAAACGAATAACCTTGGTCTTTAAGTATTCAGAATATGAAAATATTTTTTCCTTATAGCTCTACAGGGATGCCTCTAAAACACATACATGCTGATTTCTATCAGTCTCCAATACAAGGCTCTATTTTCAACTTCAAAGGAAGAATACTAAGGTATATCCAGGAAATCCAAGGAACAACAACATCCTGTGCCATCCTAGCAGAGCTGAAGAAACCATACAAAGCCCCAACTGTAAATACTGCTGATAGTAGCTTTCTAACATAATTACCTGAACAGGGTTCAGTAGAATTTTAAATTCTCCTAGTAAGGTTTCACCCATGTTGTTTCCACTACGAGTATTAGCCAGCACGATTATTGGCATCCAGTGTTTCCTGCAGTAAGGTACTATCTGCCAAAAGATAACAACTCAGTCACATAAACACTGCAAGAGAGAAAACGCTTAAATCAGAAACAATAATTAGCAAAACAATAAATAGCAAAAACAAAACCAGATACTTCTGACACAACAACCGAGAGGACAGGCTTAACATTCATTTCAACTAGTAGCATTCAAAGCTGAAGATTTCTCTTTCTACAGTACCCAGGAAAGCAGATCCTATGTTACAAAGTGGCATAATAGCACAAAATATTAAATATCTACTTGAACAGCTGCTGTGTTTTTTTCCATGGATTGTTTTGCTAGCTATTTGATGCATTTTCAACAGTAATTTTTGGAAAGCACCCTGACAGATTACCATTTTAAGCCTAAATCAATTTAGCCTTAGAAATCCAAACGACAAAACATCATAAACACGCGAGGCAGCAGACAGATACCTTTTCATAATCTGTTCTTTTGTCTTTACGCATCTGATTGATAGCGGATAAGTAGTATGGTGGGATAATTAAGTCTCTGAATTCCCCAAAAGTGCACTCCTCGTTCTTCAGAGAGGTCTGCATGCATTCGTCGTGCACAGTTTGCTGACACCACACGCATCTGGAGGAAAAAAAAAAGCAAGAAACAAAGACCTCAAACAACTGTCTCGCTATACCAAGCATCTATTTTGTATGGAGTAACTTTCTGGAAAGTACTTACAGTTACCTGAGCCATGATGACAGTATTTTCAGCATGTTAACAATATAATAAATAACAAAAAAAACTTTTAGAGAGCCCCGTGTTGGCTATAGGCAACCGTAAGGACAAGATCACGTTCTTCCAGTCTAATAATTGCATTTAAATTATATAAAGAGCAATTCAAAGTTTTAAATTATGTCTTTGTTCTTAAATTGCAAATAACTGTTGCTATAAATATCCCTTCATACAGCCTAAGTGTAGCCTAAGTACAAACCCTGCTACACTGAAAAGCCATATGAGCAGCACAACTTCTACCCACTCTAAAAAAGGAGCTACGATAGTAGAATCACGTTCAATTACTTAACTTTTTTGCAATTAATAGGCTTTGTTGATAGTTTTCCTTTTGCGATGGATGACGCCGTTTTTCAGCCTGGAAAGCCGACAGGCTCCGGAGCCCCACGCAAGGCGCAGGGCTCCCAACACCCAACCGCTCAGCCGGGCGCTGGAAAAGGGCCCAGAGCAGGAGAAAACACTGCAACCCCCCCGCCCCACCACACCAGCTCCCCCGCCATCCTCCGCGGAGCGTTAATCCGCGCTTCCCCCCCGCAAAGCCCCGGCTTAAGCGGCTGCGGCGGCTATTTGCGCAGCCCGCGCGCGCACCTGTAGTCGCAGAGCTTGGGCTGCGTGCCGCACTGCTGGCCGCACGCGCGGCAGTGGCTGCAGAGCGGCACGTTGCCGCGGATCCAGTGGTGGCCCCTGGCGCGGCCCACGGCCTCCTTGCAGGGGAAGCGGCGCTCGGCGCGCTTGAGGCAGCCCTCGCCGGCGCGGCGGCCGCAGCAGCGGCAGAAGGCGCCGCGCAGCACGGGCTGCGCGCACACGCAGCAGTACGAGGGCTGCCCGAAGAGGTCCGTGTAGCGCCAGTCGTGCTTGCTGCCGCGGAAGATGTCGCGGATGAGCAGCTGCCGCCGCGAGCGCTGCGCGCTGCACCACAGCGTCACCAGCACGGGCAGCAGCACGGAGCAGAGCGTGCCCAGCGCCAGGCGCCAGTCGGCGCCGCCCCACGGCCCCTCCATGGCCCCCCGGCCCTAGCGCGGGCCGCGGCCGGCCGCCCCGCCGCCCTCCGCGGGCCGCGGGGCAGCGCGCGGCGCCGCCGCCTCCCCGCCCGCCGCCATGCGGCTGCCGAGCGGCGGAAGCGGAAGCGGCGGTCGCTAGGAGACGGGCGGGGGCGCGGCCCGCGCGACGAGCGGCGCCGTTTGTGGGAGAAGGAGCGATGGAGGCGGCGCGGGGAGCGCAGGGCTCGCGAACAAACAAACAAACAGACAAACAAATACACAAATAAATAAATAATCAGTCAGACAATCACACAGGCCAGCCGCAGGTCGTCCTGTTTGTAACGCGTTTGAAGCGCGTCATTAACGTTCCTGCCCCTGAACCCCCGCTTGGAGATGGCGCCGTTCTCGGCGCTTAGCGGCCCTTCGTGCCCCGGTCACGCTCAGCAACGGGCACCCGCCGTCCAGAAACCACAGCAGTCATTTACCCCGGGCGTCGCTTGCCCGGCTGAAGGCAGCGAAACGCGCCCGTTCTCGCAGCCCCCAGGGCGCAGCCCGCGGCGGGAAGAGCCGCCCCGCGCCGCAGGGAGCGGAGCTATCCCGGGAATGGGAGAGCGCGGGCGGCCCGCGCGGGGAAGGGGGGTAGCGCGGGGCCGCCCGCCGGCGGGCTCGCACGGGAGCCAGGAGCCGCGCTCCGAGGGAAGCCCGCGGGGAAGCAGGCACCATGGAGAAGCTGCTCGTGTTGGGCTCCATCCTGCTCCTCCTGACCGCTTCTGCAGGTAGGAGTCTCTATAAAACAAACCTGCTTGCGCATGTAGAGCTGCAAGGAGTGGTAATGGTTTTCCTTTTTTCTCTCTCTCTCTCTTTTTTTTTTTTTTTTTTTTTTTTTTTTTATGTCTTTGCATTTCACTTTTAACATCTGGCTATATAAAGAATTAAATATGCTGCAGGAATTCCATTATTTGATGTTTAACCATCACGCTATTGCATTAGATATTACACTACACCTTAGTCAGTTATTGCCAAATAGAAGTGTCTTGTTTTACGAGTGTACAATTTTGATACCGTTTCTACCAAGAGCTCACAAGCTAAAGAGTTGATGCAATCTGTCCATTGCAACAAAAGTCTATCTTAAAAAGCAAAGTAACACTGAAAAGAGTAAAAAAAGAGTTAATAATGTCAGTGGTTAAATGGTGCTGTCATATTTTCTCATTTTAGACAGCACCATTAATGCTGGGGTTTGCTTCATCCTGACAGAACCAGACTATAGAAAGTGCAAGTATAAAAATGGTTTAAAATTCTGCTTTTATCTCCTGGACTGCAATATCCCCTGGGAAGGGCTGTAATGAAAGAACACTTTGTACATAGACAGAAATCAGGTTTGGAGACCTTTTGTTTTATATCTGAAAGATAAAACACTAACTTTTGGGGTACTTTCATATTTAATCTCTGCTTTTCCTTTAGACACTTCACCAATTCTGAATGAAAAGGAAGCCAAGCAGATCCTGAGAACTCGTCGTGAAGACAGACAAAGAAAAGCTGGTTTCCCTGATGAGCCAATGAGGGTGATTTATGCTATTTATTTTGAAAGCAAATTAAGTTAAAAAGTTTCATTTGTGCTTAATATTATATTTTTATAAATGTAACTCCAAGCAGCAAGTGCAATTATTTACAAATATCACCCTTTTAAGCAGTTGAGTTCTTCTGTGGAATATTTTTAAACTTTTCAATTACCTAGCAGTAATTGAAGAATGAATTGCCCTGGAAATGTATGCTTGCAGAATATGGCATTATTTATCATCTAGAGGTATCACAGCTCAAAAATGCATATTAAATTATTGAGAAGAAAGTGCCTTTTCATTTGTAGAAATGTGGAGTTCATCGGGTTGTTCCTGAAAAAAATTAAAATAACAGGAAATAGTCTTTTGCTTGCAGTACATTCTGCACTCAAGGCAGAAAGGAGATGCAGGTGTCAGTGGTCAGTGTGGAGATTGAGGTACTTCTCAACCAGCTTTTAAAATCACTTCTTTCATTCACCTTTTATGAATGCTGCAGACAGGGTGGTTTGCTATGATGTAGCACAAAGTTTTTGTTGCTAACATAATGCAGCAACATTGTTTTTGCATTTAGTATTTGTATTTATGGATTCCTAAAAACCTCAAAACAACAAAAGAAAAAGCAAATGAACTTAGGAGCCTTCTCTTTTCCTTGCTTTGACAAGATGTAACATAAATTCTGTGCTTCTCAAGAGCTACTTAAAGTATTTTAAAATTACTGTGCATTTCTTTCCAAAATAAATAAACTGTGCTAAAATTACATGGCTCTAAAGAGGCTAAAACCACAGAAGCCAGAAAACACACAATAGATGGTGCAAGTGTGCTGGACGTAAGGGGCTCAGCTTAGCAAGGTGCTGAGAACTTATGAATGTCAAAGACATTAAGGGCGCTGTGCACCCCGCAGGGTTGGACCCCACGCGTGCCAGGCTTGTGGAGGCAGCTCGTGGTCTGCCCTTTCCAATGGTATGTATAGGAGCCAAAATGATCCGCCTGGCAGCCGTGGAGGCTGGCCATACACCGCGGCTGATGGACACATCCTCCTTTGTCAGCTTTGGCTACAACAAATCAAAGCTGGCACAGGAATATTAGGCTGGGTTCGTCAACAACCTTGTACAATTAAGACTGTAAAACACAGCCCAAAAGCAGCAGGCACAAACTTCACTGCTAACCACAACACTCAGGATAAGGTTGGTTTCCAAGCTGTTGTTAAATGAGCCTTGTAAAGTGTTTGCAAATTAGCTATACAGTATCCATGGTTATATTCAGTATACCACGAAGAATATACCACTGTGATTATAGCATACATTTATATAGAAATAAAACAGTAATGAAGCTGGATTGAATTAAATCCTGTACTATGGGAAGTTACATGCATGGAGGTGGGGAATAAAAGGAGCTGTGGCTATAGAGTAATTTGATTCCTGATCTCCTCTGCTCTGTCCTGGCTACTTTCCATTCCACTAAGATGATTAGCAAATACTTTGTTGTGACTCTTCTGAGATTACAATACACACACACATATTTTATATATATATATATATATATGAGACAAAACTGGCTTTCTGCAGGAAACCCCAAACTTGTTCTTGTTTTTTTTTTTTTTCCCATTAAATTTCAAGGTTTTCAGTAGAAAAAGAACTGTCTTCTGATAAAAATCTGTTCCCTAAGTATAACATGGAGATTTTCCCTTCCAAATAAAGGGCCATGGCTGCTGTATCCCTGTGCACAGTCCTGCCACAGGCACAAGGAGAAAAACTGATTTTGTATGGATTCTTTGTAGCAAGATGAAACTAATGCTGGGATGAACCCAACTCTATTCATCTATTTTAAGCAAAAGCTGTTTGAACTAGGCCAGACCACGCTGAGCTGGAGAATTTAATTTGTAATTCTATGTGACACTGTTTGATTTCTACAGTGCAGTTCAATCAAAAAGCCTATTCAGCTACAGACAACAAGATGATCTATCTTTTATAATTTTAAAAAAAGTTACTCACATTATCAACATATTTTAATCTTATTTTGACCAAGACCCTGCTTTTTGTCATGTGCCATCATCTCTATCACACAGTGCTATTTTCTTCAGATTCACAACGAAGTTGCCATGAGGGGTTTGGGCCAAGTCCCCTTGGGCTGTGAGGAAGAGGGAGCTCAGTGAGAGCAGGACACACATCCAGGTCACTCAAAGCGTAACACAGGTTCCTCGGGCAGGATGGTTAACTCCCATTCTGTGAAAGATAAAATGAGAAAATTAAGCATTTATGCATCCCTACAGCATCCGAGGAGACTGTTTTACTACCTGGGGATTCTCAGTCTCCTTCAGGGATGAACAGAAATGAAGGCTAACTTGATTGTTGGTGTCATTCCTTAAATATTGCATAGGCAAACTGACTGGCAGCCCCAGTCATTTTCAGGGATAAATTCAGTCCTCCTATAGAAACTATAGCATTGTACTAGCTCACTGGGCTGACATGAGACTCAAATGTTTACTTAATTAAATTATGTTTTCTTTTCTTTAAATAGGAGCACATGCTTTACCTCCAGCGCCTGGAGCAGAGATCAGAAGAACAATTCCTGGAGCACTGGTTAAATCCACATTGCCTTCCACACTGCAACAGGGATTTAGTCCATCCAATCTAATGGATTTACCTGCCTTGTAAGTGCTATCTCGTATATTTTTACAGTACACATTTCTTCCTTCCTAATAAAAGATAGAGCCACAATTTATTTTAAAACGAAAACATAAAATTCCTAAACTCAGCCCTACAAAGTAAGCTGGCAGTTTTCAAAAAATCCTCCAGCTGAGAAACAGTGGAAGGCTGGCAGGGTCCTGCTATTGTGAAGAATTAATGTTACAGAAGTTCTTACATTTATTTGAAGACCTTTGTGTACAAATAATATAGTCAATGTATTTATGTATTTTTTTTTTTTCCTGCAGATGTCTTCGTGTGCATTTAAGAGGATATGTGCTTTGTGTTTTGGTGGACAAGATTATTCCTGCACTGGCCGTGTGTTGAACCTCTTTGGAATACAGTGTAATTCTAGTGATTTAGGAAAGCTTTCAACCATACATGTCTAGCTATGTTATACACTACCTTATATTTTCTACCTGTAGAGAAAATACTGCTTGCATGCATGAATAAAAAAATTAAAAAATCACAGGTTTCCCCCAAAATCTGAGCTATGAGTAAGAATTTATCACCGAGTAGTGATTCCAAAAGCATTAGAATATGTTTTTAAGGATAAAGCTTTAGACTATTTGAGGCAAAAGAGCATGAAGGGAAGGATGGTAGAAAATTGGACAATATAAATATGAAGGTTTTGGTGGGTCTTGCATTGTTGTTAGCATTTGTAAATTGCAATAGAATTATTTATAGACAGACCATAGTAACTTTCAGAGTCCACCACTGCAGTCGCTCTAAGAACCTGATGAGAAATAGAGAAATAAAAAACAATTTTATGGAGATATACAGGGTAGCTGCTGCAGTAACAGCCTTTGGTAGGCTGAAATAGATCAACAGTCTATTTCTTTCCAGTAATACAATATTTTCTTTCCAGTAAGAGCTTTCCTAGATGCCTCCAAGGAAATAATTTAAATCTCAAAGCATCAAAGGTTTACCTTCCACTACTCTCAAGATGAAATCACAGATTAAATCTGGGAGTGTAAAAAAACGTAATCAGGCTGCTATTGTGTGCTTCATTCATAATGCTCTTTACCATATAGATCTCCATTTGCATATCTCCATTGAAGTTAACATCATTAAAGGAAATGCTGGCTCTGGTCTCTCAGCAGAAAAACAATTAATGCCATTCTTAATTATTCCTAGTTTCAGCCAGTGGAAGTGGGTTTAGGTACTTTACTGAAATAATGGAGCTCTCATGCGGCTACACTCACACAAGCAGGGAAACGCAGTGGCTTTTAGGTCTGCCACACTGACACTGAGCTAATCCGGATGCAAACACAGGGAGTAGAGGCTGTTTATTCTTTTTCAGGTTGCTTTTCCACATTAGGAAGGTATCACCAGTACCTTCAAAGAAAGGTTATGAATTATTATCCTGAGATTGAAAGGAGTAAAACAAGAACACAAAGCTGAAGTACTTACAGGGCCTTGTTTTATGCTCTCTCCAATTTTTAAGGGGAAAAAGCAGGATTGTGTGAATATTTGTGTAAGGCTGATTCATCTAGTCAAAAGACTGAAGAGCCAACCCATGTTTGCACTCAGATTCAAATAAAAAAATCACCAATCTTTTTAGAATTCCAACACTTACGCTTCTTTACAAAAGTAAACTGGATCACAACACTCTTGTTTTATGGTGGAATTGATCATTGAAGTACCTCCTTCTCCACTGAGATGAAAAAAATAGCATATGCTATATAGGAAAGTTTGAAACAAAGAATAAGGGGAGAAAGTATAAAGAAAAGAGGACAGAAAATCATGAGAGTAAATAAAGAAAGAGAAAACAAGGCCTCTGAGGACAAAGAACACAGTCATGATGTTTCCAGACATTCAGCTCTTCCACCAGATTTAAGAAGCCAAGTACTCCACTCCTGTAAACTAATTTGGGTCCTGCAGGTAAACAGAGGAACTGTTTACTTGGCCCTACCTGCAGAGGTGGCCAAGGAGGACGAAGGCAGCCGCATCACAGGACTTTGCAGAGCTTGTTCAGCACCAGCGACCGCTGCAGCCGAGGGAGCTGAAGGGACCGTCCACTAGATGCCACTGTTTCTGCACACAAACGGCAATTTTGACTCCTCTAAGCGCTTTCCCTACACCCCTCCTGCTCCGGCTAGCGAGCTTTGGGCTACGTGTGTGCCCAATTATGTCAGAAAGACATGAAAGCCTCTACACAGCCAAATGCAGCAGCCTGTGGCTTTACACTGTCCATCGTTCAAACACAGAGCCTAAGAGAAGGCTTTCTTGGAAATTCTTCCCTCTCAGGAGGGATCCCATTGGAGCTACTGTCAGTGTCCCCAAGCTGTAAGGCGCTTGGGAAGTGCTTACTAAGACTGGACTTTAGAGCAATGTCACTGAAAGCAGATCAGTGACTTACTTTATTTGCAATCCACTTTCAAAGGGGTGAAGCTAATGGAAAATGCAAGGAAATGGATTCTACCCACTTGGAGCTTAGACAATACAGGCTTCTCCTGCTTCTTAAGGAGCCCTTAAGCAGGTGGGTCTACTCTGCTGTTCACAAGGACAGTGCTGCTTCTTCAAAGTATTCCTGAAAAGAGAACACAAAAGAGTAAAACAAAGCAAATTCTTAAGACATTCTGAAATTGAATAATGTGTAGAAAAACATATTTACCTGCAGGAATTTTAAGGCTTTATTTTTTTGGCAATAGACGGAGTCTTGTTAGAATTTTCTTTTGAATGAAGTCCTCTGTTACTCTACTTACTGAACAAATGCAAAGCTAACATCATCTGAGCTGTGGAGGAAAACTGGATTGATTGAATGTCATCATCAGAGTGGGATTCTCAGTTAAAAAAACCTTATTTTTTAATGACTAAGGGGATCAGAGTGGACTTTGGAGCCTTTCATGTTCTACAAAGACCAGAAAAGCTTCTGGTTTTGTCCAGCCCAGTGTGTGCTTAACACAAAACCAAGAGTCTGAAGCATTAGAGTTTCCCCAAATCTCAGGCTCATTTTAATACTTTCTGGAACAGAACACTGCTTCAGAGTGATTTTTTTTTTTCAGACTAAAGGGCAACCATTGAGTGGCCACTAAAAATGCATTCAGCAAAATGTTCCAAACATTCAGAACTCGGACTCTGAGTATGTGCCCATAAAAATGAGACCAGAATCTAGTCCGCAAATCCCTGGATGATCAGATATATAGCACTTGTGCTATCCAGAAACCCATGAAGACCAATAATTCACCTAATACAATCAGGATGTACTTTTGTACTTCCCCTATACTTTACGGGAATAGTCCCAAGGTCAAGGACTTCAGGCAGCTTGTCCTGGTTATTCAAGATTTGTAGCCTTAGTATATAGGATTTACCCAGTTCAGCCTGCAAATTGCTTAGGTCTTGGTGACCAGCTTTACTTTTGGCCAAACCAGTCCTGAAAGAAAAAGCCTGAAGATTGCTGAGCTGGTTGTCCCCAGCTCTATGGATCACCTACCACGTGATCCACAATGGGAAAGAGATTCCATCCTCCTGCAACACTTCTGACATTAAACGTGGCTTCTAAGTCTGTAAGTAATTAGCAGAGCACATGAGAACACTTGCTTTTTTATGCCAAAGAATCTGACCAAGGTGCTGGAGAATAAAAACAGTGACAAAGAAAGACTTACACCGAGCAGCAGCAATGGGAACAGCAGCAAAAAGGGGTCTGTGCTCAATTTATTGGTGCCACGGCACACACAGGAGCAGCGCTGGGCTCCTGTTATCTGTAGGGAATGAAACCTGCCAACAAAGCAAGGTCAGTCTGTTTCCGTAGTCATGGAAGAATACCAGTAGGATAAATTTATAGGTCCAATGGAAGACCCTTTAATTTACTGGGAAATGACAAAGTGTCTGTGGCCAACTTGTGTAAAATTTACACCTGTATACCTCAGCTACAGGCCTTTGAATATTTACTCTGAGTCTGAAGATATATTTATCATTCACACAGCATCCCAATCCATCAAGGAGCCCTCCTCAGAGCAGGACTTGTTGGGCGCCTCGCCTTTCCAAAAATGAGATGAGTTTAAAACAAAACGTTTTTGAAAAGAAAAATCTTCCCAGAAGCAACTGAGAGGCAGTAAGGGTTAGATAAGGATCAATGTCTACACATAAAATAATCAAGGAGTATTAGAGATTGCTCTTCTGTTCACATAACTGCTAGTGTGGCTCCACTTGCAGAGATTTGTTCACAGCTGCACCGTGCAGCTCTAGGTTTGTTTCTATATTAGATTATCCTATACTGTTCTCCTTGTGCTGTTCTCTATTAGTTACTGCCACTATTTAGCCTACAGGTCTATGGTATTAACAGAGTTTTATTAACATCAAATCTATAATCAAGGAGGAGACTTTGGCCAGGATGGTTATTCAGTGTTTTAGGTAAATGTCATACCAGAAACAAAACTTATTTACTTATTTATTTCCTTTTTTTCCCTGTTTACCATTGGATGCTTTAGAGCTGCCGAGGGAAAGAGAGAAAAATGTGTTCTAGTCCACACTGCACAGCTGTTGCACTGCTGGAGAAAAACACATTAACTATTAATACGGCTTTGGGGCTAAAAGTGTTTCTTAAGAGGCACTTCAATGCAATGAGTTCCAGCAAAGTGAACTGCCACAAAAACAGAGTTGAAGACCAAAATCCCTTCAGTTACTAGTTGAAACGCATCACTTCAGAGGCTTCAAACCCCAGACACAAGACCTGGCCAAGTACTAACTTGCTATCATGGCAAGACCATTTACTATCCTCAAGAAAAAGGACAACAAGACAAACAGGCTGAAACATCCAGAGAAACAGAGCTCAGAGACACTGACTCCATCCTTCAGTACTTGCCCTGACATAATTCCCATAAACAAATGCCCATAACCCCCACAAGCCGAGAGTGGCCACCCTTCTCCTCCTCATGCCAGCTATAGACCTTAGGAGCCTTCTCCTTTTTCAATCAACCTTTTTATTTCATACTTTGCTAAGATATCTTTGTATATGTATACATACTATTTCACTACATAATAAATCTATAAAGCTGTAAAAATTATGCTGGATCAGAAGAAATTGCTTAAAAATAAACATGCTGTGCAGGTGCCTTCCAGTCTCCTGCTGCGATGGACACTCAGGGGAGATGACCCCTCCTAAACCTGTCCAGTGCAAAGTATCTGAGTCACCACATTACACTCCAGCACAGAGGGCACTGCTGTCCCTTGGGCTTGGGTGCCTCTCAAGGAGCCATGGCTCTAGCAAAGATGCTACAGGGATGGGATTTACAGCAGTATTTACACACCCCAAATCCTGCTACATCCTCAGCCCTGCTTCCCCGAAGTTTTCTCTTCCTGCATCATCTGAAATCCACGGCTGCCAAGCGGCTCAGAGGGGGCTATTCCATCATTTCCCACTCCTTTCTCTCCCGTTTCCCAGGCATGCCAAGTGTCGGAGCCCACCCGCTTAATTTACTCGCAAGCTCTGACTTCTGCTCCACCTGCACAAACAGCCCTGCTGCAGGGGCAGCCCGGCCCCACGCGCGGCTCCAGCGCTGCGCCGCCAGCGCACGCGGGCCTGTAAATCACCAGCCCCGCGCGCAGCCAACAAACACCAAAACGTGCTCTTTTAGAAGGCGAATCCTTAAATTAAACAGGACAAGAAATATATGAAATGACAGCGAGGTCACTTCTTCCTTAACTGTTACTCCCATTCAAGCCCACACATCTCCCAGTCT